CAACCATAATGAATTATTTGAAAAATTATTAAATAAAAATATGAATAGAGAAGAAACTAAATCATTAAAATATATTTTAAACTCTAATAAGGATCTTTTCTATAAAGAAGGAGATCGATTAACATGTGTCAAAAGTGTAAAACATCAAATAATTACAACTACTTCCCAACCGATTTATAGTAAAATATATCGGTTTCCAAAAATACATGAAGGGGAAGTAAATAAGCAAGTTCAGGAAATGTTAGAGCAAAATATTATTCAACCATCCAGTAGCCCTTATAATAGCCCTATATGGGTAGTACCCAAAAAATTGGACTACTCGGGGAAACAAAAATGGCGCATTGTCATCGACTACCGTAAATTAAATGAAATTACGGTTGATGACAAATTCCCGATACCGAATATAGATTCTATATTTGATAAATTGGGTCGCGCTCAATATTTCACCACTCTGGACCTCGCAAAGGGGTTTCACCAGATATTAGTGGATGAAAAAGATCGTCTAAAGACCGCGTTTTCTACACCGCAGGGTCACTTTGAGTTTGTACGGATGCCATTCGGACTAAAGAATGCTCCGGCAACTTTTCAAAGGATGATCAATTACGTTTTAAAGGACTTTATCGGGCGAATTTGCGTTGTCTATCTAGACGACATCCTTATTTTCTCTACATCACTACAAGAACACCTCTCAGCTATTAATAAAATATTTTCAAAATTAAGAGAGTTCAATCTAGAAATCCAAGTGGATAAGTGCAAATTTTTCTCTAAAGAGACAGAGTATTTAGGACACATATTAACACCAGAGGGAATAAAGCCAATATAAAGACTCCTTTCAAAAATTAAAAGAATTGATTACAACTTATCCTATACTTCGTTACCCTGATTTTAAAAAGAAATTTGTATTAACGACGGACGCGTCCAACTTTGCAGTTGGAGCAGTCCTATCACAAGAAAACCACCCGGTCTGCTTCGCTAGCAGAACCCTTAATAATCATGAATGCAATTACTCTACTATAGAGAAGGAACTTCTTGCCATAGTATGGGCCACTAAATATTTTCGGCCATACTTATATGGTACAAAATTTTTAATAAGAACAGACCACCAACCCTTAAAATGGTTGCATTCACTAAAAGAACCAAACGCCAAACTACAAAGATGGCGAATCAGATTAAACGAATACGACTTCGAAATAGACTATGTAAAAGGAAAAGAAAATCGTGTTGCTGATTTTTTAAGTAGAATGGATTCTACAAATAATGAAATTAATCATATAGATGACCCTAACGAAACACCTTCTAATAATTCAGTTATAACAACAAACCATAGTCGCCATGAAAATCAATTCCCAACATCCGATATAATAATTAATAAATATTTGACGCAGCTTTATTTGACAAAAGAAAAAGAAAGGGAAATAATTATAAAATATAAAAAATTTAGACAAATCTTTATTAGTGAAAATGAAATCAATAATAGCCATTATTTGAATGACATACTTAGACGATTCATTAGAAATGGAATAACTGCTATCTATTCCGAATTAAATGATGAAAAATTTGATATAGTAAAACAGAAACTCACGGAACTCTTTTCTAATAATAATAAAATGAAATTCATAAAATGTACTAAAAAAGCAATAGACATAGAAAATGAAGAAGAGGCCTTAAAATTAATAGAAAAAATTCATAAAGAATCAAACCATCGAGGTATCGTTGAAAATTATACAGAAGTGAAAGATGAGTTTTTCTTCCCTAAACTTAAGGAACTATTTCATAAGTATATAAACGGTTGCGACATATGTAATCAATCAAAATATGATCGCAAACCAAATAAATATAGATTCGAAATTTCCGAAACCCCGAGCTCTCCTAATGAAATAATACACGTCGATTTATTTTTCTGTTATAAGGAAATATTTCTTACAATAATTGACAAATTCTCAAAGCATTTAATGGTCCAACGTCTTAATGACCGAAATGCAACTACTATTATACAAGCACTTCGCAACAGGTTTGCACTATTCGGTAGGCCAGATAAAATCGTTGTCGACAATGAGTTCGATAGTCTTAATATCAAAAACTTCTTTAGAACAGAAAATATAAACGCTCACTTTACGTCACCCAGAAGCCATACCGGAAATTCTACAATCGAACGAGCTCACGGAACTTTAAGCGAACACCTTCGTATCTTAGATACACAAAAATCACATTTAACACCGTATGAAAAAATATTATTCGCAGTCGAAAAATATAATAATTCCATTCACTCTGTAACTAAAGTTAAGCCTATAAACTTTGTAAATAACGAAATAACCGATATTGAAAAAATTAGAAAATTAATTGATGAAAATAAACTTAAAACGATTGAAAAACTAAACAAAGATAGGATAGACCCTGACTATAAAGAAGGAGATAAAGTTCTTGTAAAAAATCCCGAAGCTCTAAGATATAAACATAAAAAGAAATATACGTATATTAAATCTAAATTAATTAACGGTAAATTAAAAGATAACCAGAATAGAAATATTCACCCAAGTAGATTAAAAAGAAATTTTAAATTTTCCTCAGGTAACCCAGAAACAAACTCCACTCAACCACTACCACAACAAACTTAAATTAGCACTACTAATTTTACTCCTCACTTCAAATACTTGTTCTGCAAATATTGACGTTCGGGTATTGGAAAATCAAGGTGGATTCCAACTAATCAAACGGGAAGAAATTCCTATAATTCAAAACTATTCTAAAATTCTTCACTTTATAAATATTAGCGAACTAGAAAATACTTTAGCACAAATTGAAAATAATATTTACAACACTTTTAACCAAGACAATACCACATTAAAACAATTACAAATTCAAATCGAAAAAACTCGACATAACATTAAAACATTACTACCACACAGACAAAAACGAGGACTCATTAATTTAGGTGGCAAAGTTTTAAAATGGTTATTTGGAAACTTAGACGATGATGACAAAACTGAAATTGTAGAAAACATAAAACTTATTGAACAGGGAAATTACAACTCCATTCAGACCATAAATAAACAGATTAAAATAAACGACCAATTTCAGAAAAACCTAAATATTCTACAGAAACGAATTAACGAAAACCAAGAAATTTTAAATATTACACTGAGAGAACAAAACAACACCTTTAGCAAAAGCATAAAAAGTTTACAGTTTCTTTCTAGTTACACAAATATTAACTTACTAAATTCAGAAATAGACAAAGTCCAACAAAACATTCTTTTCGCTAAACATGGTATCATGACTCACTCCATTTTATCCAATGAAGAAATTGATGAATTTGAAATCGATGTTTTTAAATATAAAGAAATAAAAAGTTCACTTATTAGTCTAGATAATAATATTATTTTTGCCATTTTGATTCCTAACGTTGCAAGGGAACTTGCAGTTGGATATAAAATTATTCCAGTACCTAACAAAAATTTCGAGGAAATAAACATTGAATCTACTAATATATTGAAATTTAAAAATGAAATTTACTTTAATAATAAACAGAATTGTGAAAATAAACTAAAAGTAATAAATGGTTGTATAAAAAATTTAATGAATAATAATTTTAAGAATTGTACAAAAAGAAAAAATATTAATTTTGAGATTGTGGAAGTTTCATCTAATATTATCTTAGTAAAAAATGCAAATAATGTAATGTTAGAAAATACTTGTAATAACATACAATACAAACTAATTAAAACTAACTTAATTACATATTATAATTGCACTATAAAAATAGATGACGTAATATTCAAAAACATAGAGAGAAAAATTAACAACCACATAATAATACCAAACTATTTAGAACCTTATAATGTTAGTTATATACCAAATTTAGAAAATATTAATTTGAAGCAAATTGAAAATTACAATGAAATAGAATTTGTAAAATTTGAAATTAAAAACCATTATATTTTAATACTGTCAAATATCTCTATTATATTGCTTTTAATAATTTTTATTACAAAATACTATATGAAAAAATTTTATAAATGTAAAAAACGGCCAAACGATACAAATGAAAATAATAGTAAAGGAAATATAATCTCTGGAGCTCAGGAGAGCTTCCAGCTTAACGAGGGGGGAGTTATATATTCGCTTACGCCCGGAACACCAAAAAATAAAATTTAACTATAACTAAAATTAAATCGAACGTTGCGATCAAATTTCCATACTTTATTACTTAAACCTATTCTAAATCATTTAATCGCAACGTGATTTGACAAAAACAAAATATTTATTTTAAATTAAAATTAAAATTCAACGTTGCAATTAAACTCCTATATGAAATCATTTAATTGCAACGTGATTGAACTTTTACAGACAAAACTAAAGCAAAGTTCCAAATATTCAAATTACAATATTAAAACTTTCCCATGAGAATTATTCTAAACAATTTTTTGCTTACTAAACAGTTATTTCTTATAAATAGAGTAAATTCAATAGCAACTTGGCTTGGTTGGTAATTCAGTAGCTCGTTAGTTATTAAATCGTTTTGCCGTTTAGAAAATAAAGATTTAAAAATAAAGTTAATTAGAAATTAAAGTGTAATTAATTAATAAATGAAATAAAAAGAACTTTTATAAATCTTAAAATATTTTTTGTGTAAAGTAAAAACTTATAGTTTAATTTAATAAGTTTGGAATTGGAAATTAAAGTGTAATTAATTAATAAATGAAATAAAAAGAACTTTTATAAATCTTAAAATATTTTTTTTGTGTAAAGTAAAAACTTATAATTTAATTTGCATATATAGTACATGAAAAGTGCATGTTGACCACAAAATATTTGATGTTGCCTACTCTAGAGAACAGAACCTAGGATTAAAGCGGTGATTATGTAATTAAAATCTTTGGTAACACTTTAATATTTAACGTATTTTGTACTCAAATATAAAAATTTAGAAATGAATCATTTGAAAGCTTGCAATTCAAAATATACTCTCCTTTTTTTTATTATATTTTTTTTTAAACAAGAATTGGAAGTGCCGACACTTTAGAAATTGTTGCAACAAAATCAAATGGAAGTGATGAACCTTCAACACCAGAAGATAATATAAATGTTGTCGTACGTGTAAGACCTCTGAATGATAAAGAAAGAAATGAAACTATGGTATTACAATTTCCCGGGAACGGTCAAATTATGGTAAACAAAAAAATTAATAATAAATATTTTACTATTAATATATGTAATAATATGTACATACATATATATTTATCTATATTATTTTTTTTATAAAGGTTGAAGGAAGAGGATCTGGGAATCGTGGTAGTCAAAGTGTTAAACTATTTACATATAATGTTGTTTTTGAACCTGGGGCAACACAAGAAGATATCTTAGAATATTCTGGTATAAAAAAAATTGTTGAAATGGCGGTAGAAGGTTTTAGCTGTACAGCATTTTGTTATGGTCAAACAGGATCCGGTAAAACTCATACTTTAACAGGACCACCAGAATTGGTAATGGAAATATTTTTTTTTATTTTTTTGCTTATTTTTGAATTATGTAATTATATTCTAATATTAGTCTAATGTTAATCATTTATGTTTTTTTTTTGGTTTTTAATTTAGTTTATTGGTAAACCGGATCCAGCTGATTCTAGGCATGGTTTAATCTTCCGTTCATTTCTATATCTCTTCCAAATGTTAAAGGATCGTTCCGAAACAAATTTTATATTGAAAGCTTCATTTTTAGAAATATATAACGAAAAGGTAAAGATTTATTAGAAAGTTTTATTAAAATCAATTTTAGGTATTAAAATTACGAAGTATAATGCTATTCGCGAACTAATTTATTATTCGTCTAAGGTCTACGTTCTACATATAATTATTTTAAATTGAGATTTACCATCTATTTGACATATTTGGCAATAAACTTATGATCCAAACTGACATTTGCATTTATAAATTTATCGTTGAACTCAGTGACCCTTATGATCAACAGTGATATGTCGTTGCCCGTTGGTCATTATTAGATACCATTTTCGATCATTATTGTCGCTAATCAAGTAAAAGTAAACCATAGAGTTTTCTATTTATAGTAAAAAAAAATCGTAAATCGAATTTTACTAAAAGTTTAAATCAATTACCAAATTGTTCAGGCAGTTTTTAATTTGGAAAAAGCACAAACTCAAATACATACTACAAAATTTTGGTCAAAACATACATAATCTACATACATATGTACACACATATATATGTTTAACAATTAAATTAATTAATTTACTTTCTTCATTATCTTTACTTCTACCTAACTCCTCAGTATATAATGTACATGAATGCATGTGTGTATGCATAAATTTATAAGATATTTACAAATCTGTAAAGCAAATTTAATTTCTACTTTTAATCTAATAAAAATGAAATTATACACGACTTTACAATATTGATTGTGTATACAAATATAATAATATGCAAGTTATGTACATATGCATGGCTGTCATACTTTATACATATATACTTACGTAGGTAAATGTCAAATATAACTTGACAAGGACAACAAATTAATTTTTAATCGATTCGATATTTGATTTTAAATTTCTCTTTTCAAATTAAATATTTGACTTTCGGTTTTTTTTTTCATCATTTAATTCTCAATTTTTCAAGTTATTATTAATTTTTTTGTAATAACATAAAAGTGCAAATAATAAAAAAATTTCAATTGACAACAATGCTTGCTTACTGTGCTTTCATATATGTTTTCACAAATTCAGATTGATGCGGTGATTTGTTAAAAAGCTCATTTCTCTTAAACAGGAGAAAATATTCCAAAACAACTACGTACAAGTTTTAACGGAAAGAAAAACTGAAAATAAAAGAAAAATTATTATTTATAATAGAAATTTAATTGAGCTGGTGGTTTCAAAAGAATGAAATATGAAAATTCAAATTATTTTTCCGAGGCGATAAATTCTAAATGGAGGATAGAAAAAATTTTGTTTATCCCAACAAAATTACCTACATATATATTTGTTATTATAAAAGACCTGTTCGGGGGTTTTCAGGAAAAGGAAATTTTAACAAGATTTGAAGGCTTGAAGAAAACTTACTTTAATAACCCTTCAATATCCGAATTTGCTATTTTAAAATTTTTAATATTTTTTTTTTAATTTTAAATTTAAAAAGAAAAAGAAATTTCATGAGGCAGCGACAAAATTTATACTAGAGGTCTGCGCTACATTTCTAACATTTCTTTATTGCAGCCGGAAATTTCCGAACGATCTATATTTTCAGTGTATATAGCGTGAATTTTCGAACGTACTACAAGCTAGTACTATTCTAGAACTAAATTTTTACAATGTCGAGTAACTAAAAGTTTTGATCTAGAATTCAGCTTTCTATTTTTAAAAAATGTACAAGTTTTACAAACAGATACAAGGAAGGACGTACAAATTAATAAAAATCAATAAGTAATTTTTTTTTAAATTCGAAATATGCTCATAACAATAAAATAGTATATAATATTATTTACATTAAAAACTTAAAATTGACAGCTAATGACATAAGTATTTCGAAGTGTAAATTTTTATTTTATTTTTCAATCTACAAATAATTTTTCATTGTTTTTATATTAAATTTCTACTTTTTTTTTATTAAAATGCAATTAAATGCTGTTTTAACATACATACATACATATTTAAATATGTTGTTTTCTTTTTCATATATTTAAGGTTATAGATTTATTGAATCCTGGTTCGGCAAGAAAACCTTTAGCAGTACGTTGGTCTAAAAAATCTGGTGGATTTTTTGTTGAAAATCTATTTACTGTAGATTGTGAAGAGCTTGATGATCTATTAGCTGTTCTAGAGGAGGGTAAGAAAAATTAATATTTTTTATAAAAAATATGTGTATTATGTATGTTTCTATATAATACTTATATAATTTTATATGTACACAGATAATGGTAGGTGTTTAATGGTAAAATTTTAATTAAGGGTCTTATTTTGTATTTCATTTCTTTAATTAATCTTTGTTCTTTATTCTTTTTTTTTCCAAATTTAAAATTCTGATATTCTTATTAGCGTTTTTTGTTAATCTCATTTCTAATTATTGTCGGATTTCTCATTTTTTTCCAATTTCATTACAAATTTGAAAATTTGAAGATATGTAAATATGTATAAAAAACGAATTGACTATTTATAATCTGGTGGAAAAAGTGAAAAGACTTAGTGTGTAAAAAGAATAAACTTGTACAGGTTATGGTTTTTAAGCATATATAATAAGTATATTAAGTAAATTACGAAATTTATGGTACTATTTATGTACATATATATGTATAAATAATAAATTTAGTTCCGGCAAACAAGGTCAATTTATTCAGCATTTTCATGTTGAATTTTAGAAAGGCTTCAAATTTTTATTCGCGTGCTCGTATTTATTACAAATATTTAATGACTAAGTGCAATAATATTTTATTAATAATATTATAACAAGAATTTAGAGGATCTTAAAGAAATTTACCTAAAATTAAAATTTACAATTTATGTCTTCCTTTTTGAATATTTTTTTTATAATCATAAATTAATTTATACTTAAATTTATACCATAATTATTATTTTACTCATAAAACTCTTTTAATTTTTTCATTCTCGAATGAAAATTAAAATTTAGAAAATAAACGAAAATATCCTCGAATTCCAAAATATACATGCATTTATGTACGTATGTATGTATTTACGATCATTAAGAAATTAAGTTTTCCGACAACAATTATTTATACTGAAATTAGTTTTTTTTCCTATACGTACCTATAGGTACTCATAAAATAACCATAATAATAAAAGACTCATAAATTCTAATGGCACATTGTCATTAGAATTACATAAAATTCATTATCCTAAATTTATTTTCAAATGTAAACTAAAATAAAATTAAATAAATAGCAATAACAAAAAACCGTCATTAGTTTTAATTTCAATGTCATTCAAAATTGTTTTTACGTGCGCTTGGTATATGAAATTTCAAAGTTTTTACATAATTACCTACAATATATCATAGAATTTCTACGAGTAGATCATACGAGTATTTATTAAAATTAAAAAAAAAATTATACAATATAATATTAATTATAATTTCTTGAAATATTTATAACATTAATTTTGTAATTTAGAGGGTTAATAATGTGGTACGTAAATACTTAAAGTTTAAATAAGATTTACCATAAATTAAGATAATATTGATTAAATTATCCGTTAATGTCAAAACTTCCTTTAATGTCATTCTAGTATTAAAAATTTTCCATCATATTCCGAAATATTTACGCTTTATTCGGCAATATTCAAATACTCAATAAAGTAAATTGACATTCTTTTTACAATTTGTGACCATGAGTTCCTTTTTTCTTATTTGATCAGATAAAGCCTGTACATTCATATGTTGGAAAACCTTTTTCATGTTTCAGAAATATCCACGATTTCTTAAATAATAATGTTGTATTTCATATACGTATACCATACATTTATACCGAATGGCTTAGTCACTTGGTGTATGTACGTGTAACTGCACAATATATCACACAATAATTCTACTTGGCGACCAACATCTATTTTTCGACATTTTTGACTTAATCAAAATACAATCATTGGTTTAGTTTTATAAGCTAATGTGCTAAAATTTTGGGATTTGCATAATGTATTAACTTTTCCCTCTTTAAAAAAAACAATAGTTGTCATTTTGTTGCATACCATTCAAAATTGTAAATAATTTCTGAAACTTATTCCTAAAAAATATGTAATTTCTATTTCGTTAGTTAGTTTTTAAATGCAATACTTAAAGTTGTAAATGCAGTTAGTAAGAATTTATAGAAATTTTTTAGCAAAATTACAAAAAGTCCAATATATAGAGCCATCTTTTTCTCTCCTTACACTTCTTTTTCTTGTATTTTCCAGAAACTTCTCATTTGTCATTTGGAGCAGAAGTGTATTCAGTCGATAAAACATTATCTAACTTTTATTTTTACATTTTTAATATTTATTTTTTAGAAATTTGAATAGTTATACCAAAGTTATACATTTTTGCTTATTAAAATCAAATTTATCGATTAATGGTATTGATTACGTTTCTTGTTAGTTATTCATTTAATGATTGAGAACATAATATTAAAAATGTTCGAATCCGTATATCAGAGTACATTGTATATATACTCGTATGTAGTTAAAAACATGTAGGTACAACAATAAAAAACTGAAAGTAATTGACGAAAAAGAATTTTCGGAATTGAATTTTTTTTTAAAAGTTCATATGTCACATATGGCTGGAGGAAAATTTAACGTAGTTGTTCGCTGAAATTAATATTTGTATGTAAATACATATATGCATCTGTAGCAAATTGTAATATCAGATCAATCAGTAATGTATGTTTACCCCATTATAAATTTCGGCAGTATACTTTTAAAGCTTTAATGTTCAAGAACGTCTACATGGTATTTATTGCACATTCTTCGAGAAATAACAAAATATTTGCATTAACTTGTAACTTTATTATTATTTCAAGAAAAAATTTATAAATTCATAAAAAAGGATCAATGTATAAGATGATAGCTATTCGTTTTATAACGTATTATTATCTAAACTAAACGAATAATTTAGATTTAATCATTATAACTAATTCGATTATTTTCTTTTCAAAAAATTTCTTTCTTTATAATTATGAATACTTTAATTTTTAATCTTCAAACAATTCTAACAGTTTTAGGTTTCTGTTATATACATATTTTAAGATGTGTTGTTTAATTTAAGAAACTAATGAAGTTAAAGAAATTTTCAAAATATTGTTAGTAACAAATAAGTAACTATAATATAATTTTCAAATTGTTACACTGTTATTGAAAAAATCAAAAAATTTATCCAATTTTTTATAATGAATATATAGGAATGCGAAATAGATCAGTTGGATCACATCAAATGAATGAACATTCTTCAAGATCCCATACAATACTAACAGTACATATAGTATCAGAACAGCAAACTGAAAATGGAGTTTTCCTTTCCAAACATGGTAAAATAAATTTTGTTGATTTAGCTGGCAGTGAAATGACAAAGAAGACATTAAGCGAAGGAAAAACATTAGAAGAAGCAAATAATATCAATAAAAGTTTAATGGTTTTGGGTTATTGTATTGCTTCATTAAGTGATTCAAAAAAACGATCTGGTCATATACCATATCGTGATAGTCAATTAACAAAGTTATTAGCAGATTCATTAGCTGGAAATGGTGTCACTTTAATGGTATTTTTTTTTTCAGTTTCTAAAAATTAATATATGTAACTACAATATTTTTACATAACAATATATAGATTGCTTGTGTTGCACCATCTGAATTTAATTATTCTGAAACTATTAATACACTACGTTATGCATCGCGAGCGAAACGTATTCGTACAAAACCAATTATTATAATGGATCCAAGAGAAGCTTTAATATTAAGTTTAAAACGTGATATAAACGTTTTGCAAATAGAAAATGAACATTTAAAAACTGCTTTAAATTTAAGTGAAGAAACAAGAGAAATTAATGTTATAACACCAAATGCTGCTATATCTGATATAAATTATGAAAGACAACCAATACCACAAGCACCAGAAGTTAGTTTAGAAAAATTGGCTCAACTTGAAGGTTCTGAATTAGCGGAATTAGTTAAATTATATATGCAAGAAAATCAAGCGCTAAGAGAAGAAAATTCAACATTATTTACAGCGAGAGAAGTTTTATTAAGAGATCAAGAGTTAGTAAGCAGAGAAAATGAAAGATTATTAAAAAAATTAGAGGATGTTAACAGGTAAAAGGAAATATTGCTCTATTGTAAAACAATAATTTCTTTTGTATCCGTGACTACAGAATTACAAGAATACAATGTTACCACACAATTCAGCAATTACATTTCTTAAGCTGAATTTTGTTTTAATAGTGTATTCATGCAATTTTGAAGTCAGGGTTTAGTTTTCAATATTTATGTTCTAATTAATGTTTATTAATGTTGTTTATGCTTTAAAATATTTTCGTATTTTTCCGTTTTTTAAAAATTAGTTTCTAAGGTTAGAGCTATAAGGCTTAAAAAGTTTAATTCTAAAATCAAATAACGAAAGCTTTTTGGTTCTGACTTTTAGGAGCTGAATTTTTCAAAAAACCACTATTGTATAAAAACAACACACTGTATGTGCTTATGTGATTTTTTTCCCCGTTTTTTTTATAAATTTTTAGAATTATTTTTGACATTTTTTACTGTAATAACAATTATGAATTTCACTCCTAAACATATTAACGTGAAAACTGTGTAAAATTGGTCAAATTGTTACAAAATTTATTTCGATGTTTTTGAGCTTATACAGTAGATGTAAACATTTAATTTAATCTACATTTATGTATAAAAATCACATTACCAACACCCGACAAACTACAGAAAGGTGAACACAAAAACCACATAAAATACTTGACACATCTTTCATAAAACATGCTTTAGAACCAAAATTTCCTATTTAAAACTCAGCTTAATTTCAACGTTATAAAATGGTCGACAACAATTGCCAATACAGTGTACCTATATTATATGATTCAAATTGTTGTACAATTTAAACAATTATTTTGTTTTAGATTTATCTTCGGAATGGTATCCTAACTTCCAAGATTTTTTAATGACGATCAGGAGCTGTACAATATGTTGACTTTTTTTTTTTGCTTAAATATTTTTTGAATTGTAATATTGTTTTATATAAAAAATATTTTGAATCTTCTAGTAATATTCATAACGTAAAAATATATTAACCATTTGTATATATGTACATATGTATATATATTCATTTACATGTAAGTCCGTTCGAAATATTGTTTAACTTCCAAGTTTTTATCACTTACTTATATTGGTTTAATAAAATTCTTATTTTTTATCATTCTAGTGAATATGCAATTTGAAAAAATTGGACTTGGCTTTAAAATTGTTGAATGCAATATAAGGAAACAATTATAAGTTGAATATGAACCCTTACTTATTCCTTTATATCCTTAGAATTGGATTTCCTTGCAAAAAAAATACATACATATAATATGAACCATGTTATAATTTCAAACTTGTTGTAATACCTACAATATTGCTAAATAATTTAGCAATCACAACGATCCAGCTTATTATCTGAATTTTGTATTAATACTGTATATAGAAAAATATTTATAAAATAAATTTAAATTTAAATATACACAAAATTAGAATATTACAATATTATGTGTAATATAATACATACTAAGAAACGTAGTCTTGAACACGTACGTATATAAAAATGTATGTAGATATACCAATTTAATGCCCTACAATTGTCACTTATAAAGTTGAGCTCATAAATTTGCATATTTAAAATCATTTACAAAATAACGTGCAATTTTTGTTTTCTTGAATTTTTATTTGTTAAAAATATTTTTCAAATTTTTTTTTAAAGTTTTCAAATCAGCAATGTTAGGGGGTCTACTAAGATGCTGATCTAACGTCAATTTTACTTATTCAGTAATTAAAAAAGTATTACTGAAAAAAACCAAGTTGACGTTGGATCTGTATTTTGGTAGACCCTCCTTTATTGAACCGAATTGCTAAAAATGTTAGAGAGCCGACCAGAAATCGAATGTAAACAACAAAAAATATGACCAGTAATATTTATATATTTATCTTACTATTATTTGCTTTCTGGTCTTTAGAATGTTCATAGCTTATTGTGGGGCATTTTTATTTATATTTATAGCTCGAAAACTTTTAATTTATTTAAAATTAGTTGAGCATCTACCTTGCATGAATTTTTATATAATTTACAAAATGATCTGATAAAATTTGTGAATGTATGTATGTAGTTGATGAATGCTTATACCTTAAATTAAAAAAACAACAATTTAATGTAAAATAAAATTTTCCAAAAAAAAAAAAAAAAAAATGATTTTCAGAGTATGTGTTCGATCACCTTTAATTACTGGATCAGCTAGTGGATCACAGTTTAATAGCACCAGTACACCGGATGTAAAAAATGATTTGTCTGATATTTGGACAAATCCGTACAATATTGAAAATATGGAATCTACAATAGTTGTAAGTATCATTATCATAGATAATTTAACAAAATTTTTCACGTTATCTAAACGCTTCTGTAGTCACATATCTAATTTTTCACGTTATCTAACTATTTAGTTAATTATAAAATAATGAATTAAAAAAAATTTTTCTTCAAAAATATTTTGTTAATTTATTAACATTTTTTTAATATGAACAAGAGAAAATATTTTATGTTTTAATTTATTTGATTAAAACGAATTAAAAAATCGTTAACACAATTATTTGAAACGCAAATTTCTGACATTTACATTATATAATTTAATGGGATCACTTTGAGTATCCCTATTATCTGTGTTTACACGTTGACTTTTGTGTCAATGGTTGGTTCATATCTCTTGCATACAAGTTTTATTGCCTTCACGAGTAAAGAAATGTTTTTGAGAAGATTATGTCAACCATTGACAAAAAAGTGTCATCTAAACACAGGTATTTTTTACGGTATATGTATATGTTTATGTATGCCGTGGGTATTACTTGTTACATTTAAAGTTGAAACTGATACCTTTGAGTTATTGATTCGTTAAAGTTAATCACTTTATAACTAATGCACATATTGAAATTGAAACTATTCCATACCTATGCAACTTCCCTATAACCAAAAGATTTATTTTTAATTTCAGAACAACAATGATAACCCTAAAGAAGAAGTTAAGAAGAAGGCGATTGGTGAAAATATTTTAGAAATCGCTTCACAGTATGGTGTTGGAGAATGAAGAAAAAAACCCCTTTGAAACTATTTTTATTATAATAGATCCCATTTAGTTTTTGCTATCACATTTCTATATCGAGCGTTTTTATTATACTGAATTACTCGTTTTGGTAAACCCGTTAATATAAGTCCGCTTACATGTCGAGCGTATACCAAAATGTATAATTTTAATATAAGAATTTTTAAATATGTGTATGTATATTAAAATATAAACAATATAATAAAAAGATAAACATAGAATAAGCAATATTTAAGATAAGTTACCTGTATGAAAAAACAAATTTGGTACGGAATAAAATATATTTTCATATAAATATTATTAAAATTTTAAATAGTACTAAATAATAATAAGAAGCACATTATGTATGAATATTTTATAATTCATAAGTATATCACATAAGGCAACAATATTGTTATATTACATTCAATAAATAAAAAAATCTGTTTAAAAGTGTGTTTAAATAATTTATAAATATAACAAATAATAATAGCAATTTTGTATTTTTTTTTCTGTTTACCATAGTGACATGAAGTAGTATGACAGTGTCGCTTTAAGCGAACGAACTTTAAGCGCTAATTGTGAGAACTTTTTGTCAACTCAGCTTCTTAAAATATAATTTAAAATGCTGGCAAGAATTCTATATATAATAAAATATTATGTTTTTACAAAAAATTTAAAACCATATGACTCCTAATACAACATTATTGTGTTATTTAATTTGCTATGAACTGGAAGAAAGTTGAACAGACCTTTTAATGTATTTTATGTGTTATACTTGGAGACTTCTTTTCAATATTTTACTAAATTCCTTTTGAAGTATAGTATTTTTAACAAATTTAATTGTATATAATACAAAGTGTTCATTTAAAGATAAAAATGTTAGAAATATTTCAATTTTTAATTGGTATTTGACAACTAGAAAAGTAACAGAAAAGTTTGACAGAATATAATGCTATAAAGAAAAATTTGCTGTTTTCAAAATGTTGACGGAGTAACTTGAACAGTGCATAAAATGCATAATAGTAGCTAACTTGGTCCAGAAAATTTTCATTTAAATAAATGTTTCATTAAATTTTAAATTAATTTTTCTATAACTTAACTTTTGCAAATTATATAATTATGACCAAAGATATTTTAAAGAAAAGACAGGTGAATTTTGATGGAAATAGTGATTAAAAACTTATTCATTAATTTTTTTTTTTATCTTAAGGTTAATTTCATGAACGAACCTTTTATAAACATTTTCCTCTCATATGTTTCGAAATTGAAATATTTCGAAATTTTTTGGCAGCTTTACTTAAAACAGTACTACCAACATTTCGAAATTAAAATTTTTTGGCATTTTTAAAATTTTGATAAATGTCAATGTCAAGTGGATTCTTACTTCTCAGTTCTTTTGGAAAGAAATCTCTGTCGTTCTCGTTCATCCATATTCCATTTAGGTTTTGGTCGTTGGTTGCTATCGCAGTTTTATAACTAAGAATTATTTGCTTTTTTATTTAAGTGAGAAATTGAATAAAATTTTATTAATGTTCATTTGTTTAGAATATAACTAAAAATTAAACTTTTGCAAAAATATTCAAACATTAAGTGAAATTTTATTTTTATCTATGGCATCATTCAAATTTGTAGAAGATTGTAGGTAGTAGTAATCAAATATATTTATGTAGTGTTTTTTTGCAACAGTGATTTCATAGTAGGTACATTAATATTGAAATTTTATGGGGGAAGAGTCTTCTGTTTTCAATATGATTGAATAGCAAAATATTAAAGCATTTAAAATTTTTATCAAGTTTAAGAAATTTGTTTATATTATAGCAAAAAAAAAATGCTATTTATATTAATTACTCTACCTACCCAATCGCTAATAAGATGGGAGATAATTTACACAAATGTTTGAAATTTTTTGCATATAATAAAAAATATAATACTATATTACTTATACGAGGAATTTATATGTATATATATATATATATATATATATTTATATATTAAGAATCACATATGTGCAAGTGCTTATATAGAAATCAAAAAATACATACATATATGTATATGTAAAGTAATATTAAAAATTTTGTCATTTTTATTTTTTAAGTACATAATTGCAGAGTAGATTATTTTACAATTATATGTATATATTTACTTCATTTAATTGTCTCTTGTATTCATTGTAAAGAAACGCATTACTAAATATAGTTTATTTTTCTTAGAACAAAATAGAAATTGAAAAATAGGTACAACGTGCTTTAATAACTTAAAAATAGAACCATATTTTAATGTGACGTTAAAAATTTTGTGAGTGTATTGCTTAAAAAGTAAAGGTTATTTAATTTTTGGCTAAAATTTATAAGTTCATAGAATTTTTTTTTTTTGTATTTTGTTGAAAATAGTTTCATGAAGAAAAAGTGAAAAACAAAAAAAGCACAAAACAAAAAACCTTCATTTTAAATTTAATTTGAAAATTTAATATATTAAAAAAAGAAAAGAAAAAGGGCCATCCTTTTGTGGCCACCGATGTCTAGTGCTGATATATTTGATAGTTCGGTTGAACCCTCCCCCGCTAAAAAGCGGAAGCTGCAGCAGCTATCAACGAATAAAGAGGACGAATATATTGAAAAGAAGCAAGAGGAAAATAATTTAAATCAAGGATCTTCTGTTGATACAGCAACACAAATAGCAACAATAACAGCAACAAAAAATTGTAGTTTAAAACGACATCATCAAGAAGAGAATTGTAAGTTAAATACGTGATATTATTGATATTGATATAATATTAAGCATTTTAATACGTATGTATGCAAACAAATGGAAATATTTGATGAGTTGTTTAAAAATTATATATAGGTTTTTACCTAGTCTACCTTTATGTATATGTAAATATGCCTACCTACCAACAATTTTATTCTGAAATTAAATTTAATCATCCATTTAAAATGTAAATAACAAAGATCTTTTTTTAATTTGTCAACAGTATTTTAAATTTTTGTTTACAATGTACCACTAAAATATTTAAAAAAAATTTCATTCATTCGTCCTAAACGATATTTTTTTGATTAAGTGCAATGTCAAAATACCTATGTATAATTTTTGATTTCATAACATTCATGTTACATGCAAATTAAAATGCGCTGTGAAAATTACTTAGAATTTTTTATGACTTTCCTTTTTATTTATATTTAAAACAGCTGAAGCGGAAGATATATCATCACCCAAGAATAATCGCGTTACCGGTCATCAACAACCACAACAACAGCAACAACAACCGAATAATTCAACAACATCAACAACAAAAGGTAGTCTTTTTACCCCTATTGGTTTTGCGAGTGCTTATTTTGTATTTTCTTTAAAAATATTCACAGTTTTTAGAGTCTATTAAAATGATATATTTGTGAAAGTATTGGCACATTCACAATAGTTTGAACAATTTTTTTTTTCGAATATTTATAGATTTTTAACTGTTTGGTGCTTATTTTCCTAGAGTATAAACTCATTGGACATTTTCCAATTGTGTTGTTATTATTAATTTTAAAATCTTGAAAACGTAATTGAAAAAGTTTTTTATATCCCGTTGTACTTTTGAATATTTGATTCCAAATATTTTATTTCGAATTTTATGTTTCTGCTAAGTAAATGTTGGTTTTATTTCACATGCAAATAGATGTAATTTTTTTTTTATTGTTTGCTTATATGTATAAATGAATTACAAACTACTATGGTTACGCCGCAAATTATTTGTTTACAATGTTCAATAGTTTTTTCGTATTTTTTTGGTTAAGTTTGTGAGGGAAACGAAGAAGATTTTTTCAAATTTTAGGCTTTCATCGAATATTCATCATTCGCATTTTTTAAAAACTTTCAAAACTAGTGAAAAAAGTTATTTAAATATAAAAAAAAAAAAATTATAATTAAATTTAAAAAAAATTTATTAGACGAATTTCTGGAAAATGTGTTTATAATAAAAAAGTAAAGGATTTTTTATATACATATTATATAGTACTTTCCGAATTGGTTTCCTATTCTAATTTAACTTAAATTGGAAATTTTCATATGTAATTTTGGAAAATTAAAAGAAATGTATACATATTCACTTGCACGAGGACATATTAAACTTTAACTCAGTAATCTTAACAGTAAAAAAAATGATAAGCTTTGCGTCGTGAATATTTTGGCGAGTTATTAATATTAACATACTTTGACGTTGTCAAAAAATAAATCTTATATTTTAATCGAGTTACTTTAAAACTATCCCGAGGCTTATTATTTCTTAAAGTTTAACTTGAGTTATTTTTTAATATTTCTCTTGCGAAGGAATCATCATTTTAATGAAGGCTCTTTAAAACTATTGTGAATTTTTGCATATTCAAACAATTTTAACTCAGGTGAAAAACCACACAAAGATATATTTCTCTCTTTTTTTTTAATATTTTAACGAAAGTAAATTTTGAAGGGAAAAACAGTGCTGATAACATTACAAAAAATATCGGCATTTTGCAAAGTACTTCGTCATCTTTAGAAGCAGCAGCTAGAGAAGGAGGAAAATTATCTTTGTCGGAACCAACAGCAGCAGAAGCATTAGCAGGAATAGGAAAAAATAATAACTCATTCGACAAAAAGAAAACAAAAATACAATCATCATTGTCTTCAGTAGAAAAAGAAACAAAAGAAAGATCAGAAGCAGAAAAAAAATCCAGTCAACAAAGAAATAATACACAAATTTCATCAGAGAGAAATTCAGAATCTAATTCTAATAATATGGCTAATAATAGTGCTGTTGGAAATCAATCTGGTGGTGATATTGATGAGGCACTATATTCGCGCCAATTATATGTCCTGGGGCATGATGCTATGCGTCGCATGGCGACTTCCGATGTCTTGGTCTCTGGCCTAGGTGGTCTCGGATTGGAAATAGCTAAAAATATTATACTCGGTGGTGTAAAATCGATAACATTACATGATCAAAGTAATTGTACGGTACGTATATATGTACATATATTAACTATAATTAACAAATAAAAGTGGTTTACCTATCTAGTCTAAATGACAGTAAAATTGTCAAAGTAGAATAATTAAAGAAACAGCCATTTTTTTCATGGAACCCTATAATTTGTAATATTTTCTTAATGAAAAACAACCATTCTGCTATTTTTGATATATTTTCAACAAATCTCAATTACGAAAATAACAAAGACACCATAAAGCTTTCTCTACATTTCCCCTTAATGTTTTATTTTTGCTAATTTTTTATAGGGAACATCAAATATAATTGCTATTGGAATTTTTAAAATTCTGTTTATTTTTCTCTTTGCAAATTTTAATTTTCAATTAATAGTTAAGTTTCAAGGTATTGGAGTCGTAAATATCAAAAATATTTTTTAGGGTTTGTACTTTTATGTACATTTTTTCTTTCAAGTTTGAATGTAAATTTTATTTGCTAATTTCAAAAATTATCAAAATAGGTGGTACTCTGAAATTAATATTTTTTAATTTACAATTTCTAGATCAGGGATCTCTCATCGCAGTTTTACTTAACTGAAAATGATATTGGCCGCAATCGGGCAGAAGCATCAAGTGCTCAACTTGCAGAATTAAATAGTTATGTTCGGACATCTTCATACACGGGACCTTTAACAGAAGATTTTTTGAAAAATTTTCGTGTTATTGTTTTAACAGATTCAACTGAAAATGAACAAAGGCGTATAGCAAAATTTGCTCATGATAATGATATTGCAATTATCATCGCTGAAACTAGAGGTCTGTTTTCGAAAATATTTTGCGATTTTGGGGAGAATTTTACTATTTATGATACAAATGGCGTACAACCAGTGTCTGCTATGATTGCTGGAATAACTCGAGATACAGAAGGCGTGGTAACTTGTTTAGATGAAACAAGACATGGTCTTGAGGATGGTGATTATGTAACATTTATGGAGGTTGAAGGCATGACTGAACTAAATGGTTGTCATCCAATAAAAATTAAAGTCCTTGGACCGTATACGTTTGGAATTGGTGATACTACAAGTTTCAGTGAATACATTCGAGGGGGAATCGTTACTCAAGTTAAAATGCCTAAAACAACACATTTCAAACCCTTAGAGAAAGCTGAAATCGAACCGGATTTCTTGATTACCGATTTTGGTAAATTTGATTATCCAGAAACATTACATATCGCATTTTCAGCATTACATCAATATGTGCAACAAGCTGGACGAATGCCCAGACCTTGGAATAATGAGGATGCAAATAATTTTCTGCAATTAGTGAAATCAGTGAAACCTGATGTCAACGAACAGTTAGTATTGACTTTTGCTAAAATATGTGCAGGTAATTTGTGCCCATTGGATGCAGCTATTGGTGGTTTTGTAGCTCAAGAAGTTTTAAAAGCTTGCTCTGGTAAATTTTCTCCAATAAATCAATACATGTACTACGATGCAATAGAATGTTTGGGAGAGCAAGAGCTATCGGAAGAGGATGCCCAACCCTTAGGTTGTAGGTATGATGCTCAAATTGCTATATTTGGAAAGACATTCCAACAAAAAATTGCCGATCAAAGGTATGAAATTCAAGTTATGACATAAAACTGTTCTATTTTGATACAAAAACTATTTTTTCAAGGTATTTTATTGTTGGTGCTGGTGCAATTGGTTGTGAACTTTTAAAAAATTTCGCTATGATTGGTATCGGTACTAGTGCCAATGGAGAAATATTAATAACAGATATGGATCTCATAGAAAAATCAAACTTGAACCGACAATTTCTATTCAGACCTCATGACGTACAAAAGCCAAAATCTCATACGGCAGCAGCAGCAATACATCGCATGAACCCTGATGTTAAGGTTACTGCGTATGAACTAAGAGTTGGACAAGAGACAGAAAAAGTATTTTCTGAAGAATTTTTCGGTAAATTAAACGGAATAGCAAATGCTTTAGACAATGTCGATGCTCGTATTTATATGGATCGAAAATGTGTATTCAACAGAATACCAATGGTTGACTCTGGCACGCTTGGTACTATGGGAAATATACAAGTAGTTGTACCATTCCTTACGGAATCATACAGTTCATCACAAGACCCACCTGAAAAAAGTATACCAATTTGTACATTAAAAAACTTTCCAAATGCTATTGAACATACATTGCAATGGGCAAGGGACAATTTCGAAGGACTATTCCGTCAATCAGCAGAAAATGCAGCTCAATTTATATCTGATCCAACGTTTATAGAGCGCGTTTTGAAGTTAGCTGGAGTACAACCTTTGGAAATTTTAGAATCAGTCAAAGTAAGACCTTTATTTATTAGTTGTAGAACTACTTAAATCTTTTATAGATCTCAATATATAAAACAACTCAAATCTTTATCTTCATAAATTTTCAGTCTGCTCTTATTGATGAAAGACCCACAAGCTTTGCAGATTGTGTAAAATGGGCTCGATGCCATTGGCAGGACCAATACTCAAATCAAATAAGGCAGCTCTTATTTAACTTCCCTCCAGATCAAATGACATCAAGTGGACAGCCATTCTGGTCGGGGCCAAAACGTTGCCCAACACCATTAGTGTTTGATGTTAACGATCCGTTACATCTTGATTATATATATGCAGCCGCAAACTTAAAAGCAGAAGTGTATGGAATTCCCCAAATCCGAGATAAAAGTATTGTTGCACAACTTGTTTCTCAAGTTCAGGTAAAAATTATTGAACTAAAATTATTACAAATTAGATTTAAAAAAGAAAATTATTGTTCCTTATGAAAACATTTAGGTTCCCGAATTCAAACCACGTTCTGGTGTTAAAATTGAAGTAAATGAAAATGCAAGCGCTAATAACCAATTTGATAATCATGGCAACGACGATATTGATCAAGATCGCGTTAATAGAATTTTGACTGAATTAACAAATCTTGGAAAAATAAATTTCCAAGTTCAACCATTAGATTTTGAAAAGGATGATGATAATAATCTACATATGGATTTCATAGTTGCGTCTTCAAATTTAAGGGCAGCCAACTATAAAATTCCTCCAGCGGATCGCCATAAATCAAAATTGATTGCAGGTAAAATTATACCTGCTATTGCAACAGCTACTTCTGTTGTGTCCGGTTTTGCAACATTGGAAATCATTAAATTGATCCATGGGTATTACAATTATAAAATTTTTTATTTTAACCCAGTTTTTACTAATTTTCCTCATTTATATTTAGATATCGTTCTTTAGATCGTTTTAAGAATGGATTCACTAATTTAGCATTACCATTTGTTGCCTTCTCAGAACCAATAGCAGCTAAAAAAGAGACATATTATGGAAAAGAATGGACATTATGGGATCGCTTTGAAGTGCAAGGTGAAATGACCTTGTGCGAATTTTTAGAATATTTCAAAAACGAGCATAAATTAACAATAACAATGTTGTCACAAGGCGTGTCAATGCTTTATTCGTTCTTCATGTCAAAGCCGAAATGTGCAGAACGTTTGCCATTACCAATGACAGAAGTTGTTAGGCGCGTGTCAAAGAAACGTATTGATCCACATGAGCGTTCGTTGGTTTTCGAAATATGTTGCAATGATGAAGACGGCAATGATGTTGAAGTTCCCTATGTTAGATATACATTACCCTAAGATTTTTAACAGAAACAAAAATTTAATTATTTTATAAAAATTAAAAAATTAAAGTATTTAAATAAAAAATTTAAACAATATAACGAAAAAAGGTTTTTATAATAACGAAAATCAACTCAACAAAAACAAAAAAAAAAAAAAAAAACAAATACAAATTGAAATTTTAATTAAAAATATTAAACAATTTAAAATTTTAATTCGTCATACAAAATGAGTCAATTGAAGTAATTCCACACTACATCATTAAAGAACAACAAATAAATTTAATGTGTGATTTAAATAATAGCAATAAATTTATATTTTCAGCAGCGAATAATAAAATCGTAAAAATAGATCATTTGGAAAGCATTAAATACGATTAAGATTTTTGGAAAAATATATATTGATATATATTTATTTCGATCGTACATATATAAAACAGAAATTTTGAATTTAATTTTTAGCAGTTCTTAAAAAATTAACACGTACTAAGCTAAGACAGCATCTCCAAATGCATCCCGTGATTACCAAAAATAGCGAAACTATCGCTTACAGATTTGAAATATAACTTGAAATTGGAAAAATATTTTGAAAATTTAATTACTGGGATATATATATATATATATACACAGTTATTTTAAATGACTCATTTTGTTTAATTGTATTGAAATTATATAGCTACATATTTTATTTCTATATAAGGTAATACAAAATAAATTGTAGATCTTAAATTAATTTAAAGCAAAAATTATGTTATTCTAGTTTTCTCATCTGGCTTTTTTTTTTCAAAAGTGTAGTAGTGTAAGGAAAATTTAAAAGAAAATAATTAATTATTTTTGTCCATTTAGAAATGAAAAATTATATATTCGAATTTGGGATTAATGCAGAGAAAAAAAGTACATTTATATTTATAATTGATTAATAAAATGGAAAAATAAAAAAAAAAATATATTTGCGTTGAATTTAAAAAAAAAAACACCAATTTCTTATGTGTACCTTGCATTGCTGGATGACAGGTTTCTTTCCATTAGATTTGTAATTTATCTAATATTCATACAAAAGGCAACAAATGCCTCAAATTAGTAAATAAAATTCCAGAATTTACCTTCAAAATCAAGCAAAACTTCGTGTGTCTTAAATACACTAAATCTCAATTCATCTAATGAAACAAAAAAATTCTGTCAGAAATTGAGAGGTATGAATTCTCAGATCGACTCTTAGTTTGCAAATTTGTAATCAAAATTATTTTTGAAATAAATATTTTAAAATAGCACATTTATTTCAAATTACAGCCTTTCTCAAAATCGAAAATAAATAAAAATTTTGAACGTTTTTCATAAAACAATTTATCGAACTTTGTTAATCCTAATATATAACTAGAATTGTATAGTCAAACTCAATATTTGGAAAGGAAGTTATGATATTACGTACGTACATGTATAGTTAAAAATTTTTATTATGTACTTGTACATCCACATTACCCTTTTACAAGTTTATCTTTTTGAACAATTAAAAAATATTAGATAATTCAAACATGTACATATGTAAATTTTCATTTGCGTACAATTGTCTTGAATAAAAATTTGTTTATATTTTGGAGTTTATGTTTATTTAATTTATAAATTAAGAAGATATTTTTTGTTATTCTGTTGTTTCTCTTTTCGACATTCGAAAAAAGAATGATAGAGCTTTGTTATCAATATCTGAATACTGTTCAGCAACGTTAAATGGTAAGCAGACACACTCGCCATTTTCCATATGTTGTCTGATATCATCTATATCCGAGAAACATGGGAGAGCAAATTTTATCTAAAAGTAATAAAATAAATAAAAACGTAAAATGTACATATTTGCTTTTATATTTTACCTTCATTGATTCATCCTTTGATGATATAATACTAAAGTTGTACATGTATTTTGCAGCATCTTGTTTTCTTCCCATTAAAAATATGATAATAAAAATAAGTTTTTGTTTGTTATCAATTTCATACAAAAAAATAAAACTCTTATTAAAGGCTCGAATTAAACGAATTTGTTTAAATCCATTTTTGAATAGGGTTTCATTAAAGAAAACCGATGATTCTTCTTGAAATTCATACGCTTTAATTATAATATTTTTATGAGCTTTTAGTAAATGATCTTCAATTTCATGCTTTGAAGATTTCCATGCGCATCTTAAATAATTCAAATTATATTATGATTATTATTAATGCATAGTATATGTGCATATGTACATATTTTATTTTTATAAAACATATTTACTTCCAAATTCCCAATTTTTGACCAATACACTCGTATGGCTGATATTTACATTCTTTTATGTGAGCATCTATTTCTTTGGGTGATGGAAAAGTCCAAGTACAACCACGATTTTTAAAAGTACATGGATCATTTATAGTAATTTTTCCAGAATTATAAATTAAATCTTTGAATGCTTGATTCTTATCTGGTGCCAGACGGTTACCACACTAAAAATATTTTATTTAATATTTTATAATTTAATAGTTTCTCCGTATAATTTAAATTATAATTTTGTCAACAAGTTGAATAAAGTAAAATGTAAATAAAATATGGGTACATAAAATAAATTATAATTTTATTATGGGTGCGTATGGTCGAATTTCAACGAATAAATTTTTCAGGAATGTTTCTGAGTACAACTGAATCTACAGAAAATAATTGGGTAACAAATTAATTTCAGCGTACGTATATATATATATACGTACACAATAATACAAATTATCTTCAGTAATTGAACCGACTAAGTTCTAAGTTTTCATTAAATTGAGTTTAATTTTTTAGAAAGATACATAAAATATATACAATTAATAATACAATTCAATTTGAGATAGTTATTATCCATATAAATATGTATAAGATACTTAAAATAATTTATACTGAAAATGTATGGGGAAAAAAATTAAAAAAAGTGTGAACTGTGCATTAAACGTCTTTTACATATGCACATATTTATATAACATATATACTATCATAATAGCTGTGTCAAATAAAATGAAATTTTCCTTCATTTCCTTTTCAAGCTTATTAAAAAATTGGATATGTAGGTACTCCGACAATCATGAATTATTTTTGTGAAATTCTTTTTAATCAGAAATTTATTTCCCATCTTTAATTTAATGTAGGTAAGGTACATATATAAGTATCTACCTACATATATAAGTACATACATATGTACATAATGTAATATAGACTTCAAGCATATTTAATTTACGAAACACCCTATCAAAATAAAATATTTGAATTTGGAAAAAATTAATGACTAAATTTGTTACACTTTTAACAAAGGAATAATTTAATTACTAACCATATTACACCTTTTTGAATGCAATCCAACGCAAGTTAAGCAAAATATATGGTTCTCTATACATTTAAGAATATCATCGGTTGGTATGTTATTACATTTCTTGCAGCAATATTTTTTAATATCCATTTATATACAATTATTCATTTACAGTTTAACCAAAGTTTTAATTTAATTATTGTTGTACATAAAGAAAAAACCGACGCTACATTTACAAAAAGATTTTCAATTTAAAACCTAAAAAAAAAATAAAAATAAAATATGTAAATAATAATTCGAATATTTCTCAAAGCTTACTAACTATAAAATTTTAACTTTTGAATTTGAACAATGATTACTGATTACTGAAATTGAAATTGTTTTTATTATTTAAAAATCGAAATCTAAATTGAAATTAGTGTTGCCAAGTTAATAATTTATTTACCAAAAGTAGTAACTTGATAAATAATTTTCTTTTCAAATTTGGTAACATTTTCATGAAATTCTAAATTTTCAAAATTATAATTCTAAAGTTTCCTTACAAGCATATACATAAGAGATATAATTTATATATAAATCACGGATTCTCTTTGTTTCTATCAATCTAATCGTGCATGCATAACTCTTTCCCAATTCATCTTTCTATTCCTTTCTAAATAAAAATTCAGAAATTTTTAATTGGAGATTCCATTTTTTCAATAAGATCATTAACTTTTTAGAATTGCATTTTTGTATTTTTTCAATATCGACTGGATAATAATTAATGATTACTAAATTTTGTAATAATTTTGAAAATAATCCGATATGAATTTCGAAATAATTGTTTTATTTCAGGAAAAATAAATTACGCAAAGGTGATTTCTCTTACCATTTTCTATATGTAAATCAGTACATAATATCGTCGATTTTTTTTAAGAGTTTTAAGGTATACAGAAAAATTTAGAATTTTCTAAGCTATCTTTATCAAAAAAAAACACATAACGGTAACATTAGTATTTTCGGAAAACTATCATTTTAAATTTTCCACGTATCTACAAATTGATATTATTGTTTCTCTTTTCAAATGCGTTTTCCCCGAAACACAAAAAAAGCAGTTTCGTGACTCTTCCATAATACCAATGATATGTACCTCATTCAAAAGTAAAACACGGTTAATAAAAACTCTGTTGGACTTAGATATACGAAAATGAGTTTCTTTTTTACTTGCATCAGTAGAAATATTCAATGAAAAATAAATATTCTGGATAAAAATAAATATGAATAACAAGGTTAAAGCAAACACTTGAAATACGTTTTAGAATTACATTTGGTAATATTTTTGTTCGTTTTGTAACTTTTTTAAAGAAAATTTGTAATTTTTTTTTTGCGTTTAATGGCAACCCTGACTGTGATACGAAAAGCTTACGAAAAAGAAAAAAATAAACAAAAATATGTAATTTCAGTAAAATTTTTAAATTAATAATGATTTTGTCAATATGTTGTTATAGTAAAGTCTACTATATATTATTGAAGTGCAATAGATTGCAAAGAACGGATCTAAAGATAGCTTTTTTACTCAATGTTGGGACGTTCGGACAAAATTTTTTGAATTAATAAAAAATTTCAATTTTACTAAAATAATATTATGCAAAACTGAAATGACACAATATTTCGTTCATTCACTAAAGAGTATAAAACATTGTAAAAAATCTTCTGCTTAAACTTTTTGTGATTGCGGCAATGCTGTTTGATAAGTTATATTGTCCCTATAAGATTATGCACATTTGTACATAATGTGGGCTTCAAGCAGATTTAATTTACGACACACCCTAACAAAATAAAGTATTTGAATTTGGAAAAAATTAATGACTAAATTTTTTACACTTTTAACAAAGGAATAATCTATGATTGCGGCAATGCTGTTTGATAAGTTGATATCTTGCATTTAGCAAAATAAAAAATTGTCGAAGTCGAAAATAATAAACATTAAGCAACTATAACGTAAACAATTAAATATGAATGTATTAATTTCTCTTTATCTTAATTACGTAGATATGTATGTTTGTATAAATTCGCATAAATAGTAAAATATCAAAAACAAAATGAAGTGGACATTTTTTACATATCGGAGAATCACAGACAAACCTACTAGTATTACACCTACTGGTATCTTGAGAAAGAAAAGAGCTAAAAATCATAAGATAAGCCTTATCTACTTATTTATGTGATGTTTACATAAGTATGTACGCATGTGTGAAATTGGTAATTTTTAAAACTTTATTAAATACTTACATATATTAAAATTAGATTTTTTGCTGTATAGAAATCACGGCTGCTGGAAATACTGATATTTTTGCTATGTCAAGTTAGAAATCAATATGCTTAATGCACTTTAATTGAAACAATATACCTTATTCATTTTTGAGATACAATTTTATTAATATCTGTTACTTTTAAAAAAATTTTCTAACCGCTTTTTACAAAAATATACATACATTTTTATGTATACATTCCACATAATCGTAGCATCATAAGGAAGAAATTCCAAAAAAATATTATAATGTTCTTCTCATCTCCAATTTTCAATGTGGGCTACGTTTGGGGCATTTAAACCATCTTAATGCTGTTTTTTTTGGACGTAAATGTGCCACCTGCATTCTCTTATCATTGAACTCATAAAAATAATTGTTTTTGAAGAAATACGTTTTACCTGATTAAAATGGAAAGAATCAAATAACGATGATTAATATTGTTTAAAGTTCCTATTTGTACATATGTACATACATATTATGTATGTACGCAGTATACACACAAATATAAATATTTTGTAATCATACATAAACTTATAGTATTTATGTTACCGTTTTTATATGCAAGAGCTGCTTTAATATGATATCCAATGCCAGCCCATTCTGTCATATCCCGTGGATAATATATTTCCACTTTCTTTTCATCTTCATTAAATACCCAATATAAAACACCACTGTAAAGATATGTACTATTATTATGACCCCAAATAAAAGCTGCATCAATTCTCTCTAACTCATTTGGTAGTCCAAGATTGCTTAATAATTTTGGATACCCTTCTTCTAAATAACTTCCATCAAAACTGTAATATTTATTACCTAAAATTAAAATAAAATTTTTAAAACTCATTATTTTTTATATTATTACTATTTAGGTATACAGTGTTAGTAAAATGTGTTGTTGCACATAATGTACTTTGTGTATATTTTGAAGTTACTTATATTATAATTTTTTGTGATCGGTGTTTTCTAGAATACCCTCGTCTGAATAATGTATTAATATGTACATATATAAATATGTACATATTAATAAACATTCTCATAAAATTTGCCGATACCAAAATTTTAGTTTCATGGACTCTAATCACCTCAACAAACGAGGAGGTAAGCGTGTTTTAGTTTTTTTGTTGAATTATAGTCATTATGAAACATTAGAATTACATTTTGAACGTTTTCTTCTTTTTTAGTGGTGCTATTTAAAATTATGCTATTACAACTATTGTGATTCGATTGTTTTCTAAAATACTCAAGAAGAGGAATCAGAAAATTTTTGGATATACGCCTTAATAATATACAAAGAGCACGAGTTAAATCTTTTCATATTATACTGTATGGCTCTAATAAATACTCAATGCCCTACAAATGTTAGTAGATTTAATGTAGTACCTAAAATTAATTTTAGAGATAGTTTACAAAATATTTTATTGTTTTTTTTTCTACAATATTGTAAACCTATTTAAATATGTAATTTTGATTTATCTTACCAACAAAAAAAATTGTTTTCTTCTCTTTATTTTGATAAACAGCATTAATGTTGCTTAAAGTTTCATTGACTGGAAATCTCCATATATCATAAATATGAAACGGATTATTAATATTTGACATTTGATTTTTAAATTTCCATACGTACTTGAAAAATAATAAAAAACCATAATTTCAACAACTGGGTATTTAAAATGAATTTCGAATATGTAAAAAGTAATATAGTAATAAATTTCGAATATGTAAAATAAAATATAGTAATAAATTTGCTATATAATTATTTGCTAAAATAATTTTATTTTAATTTGAAAATTTTTTCTATTACCTTATTTTTGAAAACAAATAATTCACCATCAATTAGTGCTAATGTATCATAATCGGTATTACAAATATCTGGTTCTGGATCTAATTGTGTCATAATGCAACTATCACCTGTGCAATGACAGGGGTGATTTGATTCAGATTGAGTATAACTAAGAACTTGAAGATTTCCAAAAAATGTATTACAAAATATTGTATTTATCCATAATATGTAGAATGCCTTTAATTATATTTTGAAATAGTTTATAAAATAAAATAAAATAAATTTATTATTATTATAAATACATAATTCATATTATGTACATATACATGCATGTTACTACCCGGATCCAAATGCAAATACATATTCTTATTAGGGCGTCTGCAATAAGAATTGCTTAATTGTAAAGTAATTTACAATAATAATTTATACATAATATATTATGAAGAAATGCATTAAAAAAAATATGTATAAATTAGTTTTAATTTTTCGTTGCCAATTAATTAAGCTAAAATATTAATTTTTTTGTAAGAAGATTTGCAATATTTTCGTTTACAATACAATTCGTTCTAACACTTTATTTGAAATCGCTTAATTTTCTACATTATAACATTTTTGTAGGTTCATATAAATAATAAACGATTTCTATGATTTAGTTGTAATTAAGGTAAGTAAATTATAATATAATTTATGAAATGTGTTTTATACATACATATATACATATTATAATATGTAATTCCATTACGAATTTAATTAACATCGCGCACTGTATCTCAACTAACAGTAACAATAAGTTATCAGTAAGATTATAGAAAATTGTCCAAGTAGAAAATTCTAATTTTAAAAATATATTTTAATTATTAAAAAAATTATTAAATTTTTTAATTAATGATTTTTTTTCTCTAAAAATTTTTGATATTAAAACACTATATAATTGTCCCCTAGAACCCTCTTTTTATATATATATATATACACAAAAATACTTTGTATTTGCATTTTGTTTGAATTCATTATTATATTATATTTTTTATTTTTACTCTATTTTCAACAATCTAGATTAAAATATCTTTTATATTTGTGTTTATTATTTTTGTATGAGTCTATAATTTTACAAACACTTTAAGACTTTAATGAGTGCATGTACGGTGCACAAATATTTTAAAAATTTTAAGTAGATTGTATACTATTATTTTTTTTTTACTACAATTCTGTCGTAATTACTAAATTGTTTAAAAAATGAAAGTTAAATAAGTACTTTTTATTACAAGCTTTTATATAAAATTATTTTATATTATTTCTGAATCGACATTTCTATTTTTACAGAAAAAGTGATTAATGCAAGTACATATTTTATAACTTATACTATAAATGTGATTTTATAAAAACAAAAAAAAAAAAAATTTCATCAATTTGTTTGCATATTTGCCACGTACCTTACTTAAATAATTGTGTTGATAACTTTTAAAATATCTAGTTTTATAATTTAAATATCTTAAACACTTATTAATTATCATATTATTAGATTATATAGTTATATTCTACTCAAGTTAATATTATAATCTTTAAATAAATAATTAACAATTTAATTTGGTCAATTAGAAAAAAAAATATATATTTTATGTATTTAACGATGAAATATTTCTAATAAAATAAAATAAAATTTCAATCAAATGATTTTTGGAATTTTTATTATATAATATAATTTTACTTAAACGTTGATTCCGCTAACTTTAGTGTATCAAATTAAATTTCGATTTAGATTCTCCGTTTTAATTAAATTTTCCATTCGCCTAATTTTTTGCCAAAAATTTCATCATTATTCTTTGGCTTTATATATATTTAAATACGAAGACAACGTCTTATATATAAACTTAATTCTTAAACCTTTACAAGAAAAAAATCTCCCAATTTCATAAAATTTGAAAAATAAATAAAAAAAACAATTTAAATTCAGTTCAAGTTTTAAAATAAAAACAAGAATTTAAATTCATAATGCCACACATGTTCTCCTATAGCGAAATTAATTATATATAGCAAATTTTGATAATCTTTTGACTCCATTTATATAAATAAGTTCATAGATTATTGAATTAATAAAAATAAAACCTAAAAGTAAACAAAAACTTTATTTTAAAATTTAGAAAAAAAAATTAAATAAATAAATGAATACTTTATGCTTACTTATGCGCATGTAATATACTTACATATTCATATATGTTATACTAATATACAGCATTTTGTAAATCTTAAATATATATATGCATATATGTATATATGAATGTATATTTATTTATTATGTGTAGATGTGCAGTTTAATTCATAAAAACGTAATAATCTTAAGAAGTTGATATTTAGCCTTATTCTAGTTGTCGAAGTAGAGCGACAATTGTCGTCACGACTTGAATTTGATATTCTAAATGGCGATTACAGTGACACGTGTCGTGGAATAGCGGGAATTATATGACTCATTTTATTATTATCTGTTATAAACACATATTTAACCTTCGACAAATAATAAATAATCTTAATTTCAAATTGAAATTAAGATTAAAAAGATTAAGATACGGCAGGCTAGTTAAAACTCTATGACGCAATTAAACTGGAGCATGACTATCTATAATGTCATCCACTAGCCCTATAGCCCTATGCTCCTCCTAAGAGTGAAAAAGAAAAAAAAAACACAAATTTAATAGGGGTCATAAAATATGGTATACATATATTTATGTATGTAAGTAATTAAAAAAATTATTTTGAATCATTCATACAATATGTATGTATAAATATGTATGTATAAATCTTACACAAACTATTTTCAAATTTTTGCATCAAAAATATTTATATTTTTGTAAAATAACCTATTCATGATATATGCCAGTTATATGATGTTATTCATATTGTTATACAATATATACATACATTTAGTTTATTCATTGTAGCTATATACATATTTGTTATAATTTTCATTTTCTTTATATCAGTTTTTTAATTGTGAATTTTTCAATTTAATCGTAATTTAATAGCTTTTAAAATCATAAAATTGATAAAAATGCTATACGGCGAGGCGCTTTATAATACAACAAAAAGAAATATGAAAATAAAACGTGAGCAATTTTATCGAAAAGCTTAGAAAAATAATAATACATAAAAAACCAAACAATTCGCGTAATATTACTATAAAAATTGTATAACAGGAAACAAATATTACTTACCTATATTTTAATAATATGAAATATAATATTAACTTGAAAGAATTTTCCAGTTCACCTGCCATGTAAAATTCTTAATGTAAAAGCAATTAATCGTCTTATTTAAATTTTATAAAATATAATACTATCTTTACTATTTAAATATATACATGTGTATGTATAAAAATGACAATTGTATGTTAATATACTTAAGTACATTATTTATGTGTAATTTGTATAAGGTTAAAATTTTAGTTTTTTGCACTAATTTTAGTTTTATGTGACCCTATTCATGTAATTGAACCTACTTTATGGTTGCACATTTTAGAATAATAATATTATGTTGGTTATTTTATAAATTTAGAATTTTTATAAAAATTTTTCCATTAAATAGTAAAAAAATTTTATTAATTTTCGGAATACTACAAGTTAAATCTGTTCAAGTAATTATGCAATTGAATTGAGCGATTCTATTACTGAAAAGTGAGTTATAGAATCAAATATGTTTTAATTTGTCGAAATAATTAAGACCAAAGGATTTGAGCAGTTTTGGAACTCAAAAAGGACTAATATAAATTTCCGTTCTGTTAGTACGTTTAGAGATAAATGCAACTTCAGTTAACACTTATTATAAGACAAATATACTCGCTTCATATCTCTTTACAATTTATTAGTATAATAATAATAATATGCAATATGATTTAAAAATTAAGTATTATACTAACTTCTTAAAAAAATTTAAAATTTCTATTATGTACTTACAATTCGTATGGATTAAAAATATATTGAATTTAAATGTTTCTCTATTAAACTTTTATTTATTTTTTGATTAATTGAACTTGAATTATTAACTTTTAAAATTAAGAAGGATCTAAATGTTTGCTTCATTTCCATAATATACATAATTAATAAATTAAATTTAAAGCATTATCTAAGTCCCCTTAATCGATTTCTTTATAACTAAAATTTTTTATTATGTTTCCCTTATTTAAATTTTCTCTATTGCGGATTCATTTTTAAAATTAAGAATGATTTAAATTCAAAAGTTATCGCCATTGTATTTATACGTTTTTGTCTATAAAATTGCCTACCATTTGGTTTATTTCACAGCTTTTGCTTTACTCCAAAAATTCATTTTGCAAATAGCGAATGTTTTTAGTATTCTAAAATTTACATGAAAATATTTATGTACATATTCGCTTAACTAATGTTCGATTGGTTACTAGAAATAATTTATAATTTTGAAATGATAAATAAAAAACTGCATAATTTTATCATATTTTTGAATTTATTTAAAAAAATTTCTTTTTATTAAACGTACAAAATTTAAGAATATACGCATATTTATTATTAAAATTGATATTAATCTAAAATACAAAAAAAATATATATATATATTTGCTTTTAATTTTTTATAGTTTTATAACATTATGAACGACTAATCCATTATCAATTAATATAAAAAATCCAATCAATTTAAAATGTAAAATACATATTTATTTCAAATATAATAATTAATTATATATTTTAATAATTATATATTGAGATATTATTATGTAAAAATTTATTTAAGGTTAAAATTAAATTTACAAAAAAAAAAAATTATTACTTTATTTGAGTATTTAACACAAATATCACAGAAAAAAAAAACAATATTCTGTTTTTTTTTTTTTAATTCTAAAATAAACGTTAACTTTTTTTAAGAATATTATTTTATATATTTATAATCCTTCATTAAAATATTTATATAATTTTTTTTTTATAAATGAAAACTTTATTTTTTGTATTTATAACTTTTATTTTTTTAAAATAACATTAAAATTAAAAGTTTTATTACATTAAACTTAAAAATGAAAGTTTTTATACCGGCTTTTTATTTATTTTTAATTTAATATAAATAATTTTATTATTTTACATGTAATTGTGACATTGAATAATTAAATAGAAAATTGAAACAAAAAAAAAATAGAAATAACATAATATAGAAAACTTAAGAAGAAATGAAAATGGATTAGTAAAAAATTAATGATAAATAGCAGATTTTTTTTAAATTATTTTTATGCATGTATAATCATTAATAATATATTGTTAAAAAACTTTGTAATTATATCATTTAAGAAATATTGCTACAATTTCGAAATTTTCACCAAAATACGCATATTTATAAATATTTTAATTAATATTAATTTAAAAAAAATTAATATTACATGGAAAACATTTATTAATGGAAAACATAGTTTTCTTCAACCAAGTCTGTTCATATAGCGAATTTAACCTATTAAATCTATTTTCTGAAAAAAAAATAGGGTGCAAAAACAATTACAATATTTTTACAAGATCTAATTTAAAATTAATAACATAATCTTTGTTTTTATTCATAAAATTTTAACAAGAAAAAGATCTTACATTATTATTAGAAATAGAATAACTTTTTGTTATGAACATAATTACAAAGAATTCGAAAATAAAAGAATTTGCAATAGTAATTAATTTTAAGGTTATCATTAAAATGTTTTTTTTTTTTTTGTTTTGTTTTTAATCAAATACTAAATCATCAATAGAAGTGAGCAGATCTTAAATATAAACTCATATAAAAAGTGAATATAAACTCATATGATTGTTAGAAAGGCAGTTAGTTTTTTTTTGTTTAATAATTACAAATTAATATTTAATAAAATTCATACTTAATATTACAACTTTTAAAGTTCATTTGCCACAGTGACTCTATTTATTTTTGTCTCTCTTAAAAAAAATATTTTATAAAATATCTAACAGGATAATATTACAAATTATATAATATGTATATCATAATCAAAATCAATATTAGTAATTAAATGCAAGGATACAACGTTTAATAATACAGTTTTTTGCTTTAATTGAAAGGGTAATTGAATCAATTCCAATAGAATTTAGTAATTATTGTTAAAATTCATTATAAGTTTTTTAATTTTAAAATTACTATTAAATATATTTTGAAAATTTTAATTTAGATATAGAATAGCAATAGAAAGCAAACAATATAATAATTATATTTATTGAAAAATAAAATCTTTAAATTGATTTTTATATAAATTTAATGTTTAAAAATTCATAAGTAATTATTTTAATTAAATATTGTGTTTATTATTTCATTGCAAAATACTTAAATTTTTTTTAAACAGATGTGTAATACATAATTTATGTACCCTTTCATTAAAATTTATTTAAAAAATAAAAATTAATTAGAGTTGCGTTTTGTATAATAGTTTATTTTAAATACCTATATTATATAAGTAAATAATTAACAAAAACTCTGTAGCAGTATATAATAAGAAAATGTTAAAAAATTAGACTTTTTATATAATATATTCAATATTAAAATTTTTAAATAATTCTAAATTATTCTAAATTATAATAATTTCATTTATGTATGTATAAGCTTGCGTTGTATTTTTTTTTTAATTTTAAAATCAAATTAGAAAAGTTAAAATAATGATTTTTTTTATAAAATTCCTTAAATAATATTATGTATGCAGTTTTAATGTAAAATATTATTTATATGAATATATTTTATTAATTTGCTTTTTTTTTTTTTACAATTTGTTCATATTTGTTTATAGTAATTGTAATTAATAATATTTTATAATTTATATAATAATTAATAAGGCAGTTTAATATAAAAATTGTTTTAAAATATTATATATGTATGTATGTGTGTATAATTATAAAATTTTTGTATTTGAAAATAATATTCCTAATAATAAACTAATAATTAATGTTATTAAATTAAATTTAGATGAATTTGCATTATTGTGTTCAGCCGAAATTAATGCTAAATTTCTTTCAATAAAATAATGTTCTTCCTCATAATTTTGTTTACTATTATTTGGAGAATCTTGTTCACGAGGACAATGCATCCATTTATGTGCAGATGGTTTCGGTCGAATATGTGCAACACGCATTCTATCATCATTAAATTCCCAATAAGTTTTTCCTTTGAAAAAGTATGTTTTACCTAAAAAAAATTAATATATGTATAATATATATATATATATGTGTATGTATGTAAGTACGTAATTTAATAATTGAAATTAAATCGCTGTTAATTTTAAACTCTGTATAATAAATTATTCGAATATTTCATAAAAGTATTTGACATAGAATTTGTTAATTCATTCAAAAAAAGGATTGCCAGATCTTAGTAAAAACAATTTATTATATTTAGGCAGTTCAATTATAAATAATTTAGATTTTGAATGAAATTTTTACTTATTTAAATAAGGATTAATGAAAATGTTATTAGACATGTTTAGCAATCAAATTTATATTGTTAGAAAGTGACGACTTTATATGCATTTAAGTAATTAACACTTAACATCAAATAAATTAATTTTGAAATTTTGAATATAAACAAATATTTTATATGTACTCGTATTACCATTTGTATATTGGAAAGCAGCATTGATATGATAACCAATACCAGCCCATATTGACATGTCTCTTGGATAATCTAATTCAACTTTTTCTACATCTTCATCAAATCTCCAATATAAAGTTCCACTATAAAAGTATGTTCTATTATTATGTCCCCAAACTAAAGCAGCATCAATTTTATCTAAAGTATCCGGTAATCCAAGATTTGTTAATGGTTTTGGATAATTAGGCTCCAATGTATTAGAATTGAAAACATAATATTTTTTACCTAAAAAACAAATTTTAAAAATAAATCAATAATTTCTTTATATATAGATATATGTATGTAGTATATATGATTATAGTTCTGTCTTTAGTTTATATTTGTTTGGTACAAAATAAAAATAAAATTTTCTTACCAATGAAGAAAACAATTTTCTTTTGTTTATTTTCATAGACGGCGTCGACATGACTGAATTCCTCATGTTGTGGAAATTTAAATATTCGATCGATTCTATATGGATAACCTTCTTCAGGAAAACCATTTCGCACTCTCCATAAATACTTAAAAAAAAAAATTTTAATAGTTATATTATAATTTTTATGAACAGATTAAACAGATTTTTATAAAATGCGTTCGAAATTAAGCTGAGATGCTTAAATATTTTAATAAAGTAATTTTAAAATTAACTTTAAATAAGGGTAATTTAAATGAATTTAACAAATCATGGATTTTTAAAATTTTTTCTAAAAAAAATTATGCTATTAAAAATTTATTTATTGTTACCTTGTCTTTAAATATAAATAGTTCTCCACGTATCATTGAAATTGCATCATAATCTGTATTACAAGTATCTGGTTTCACAGGTAAATAATTTGGGTGAACAACTCTTGGTTTAATTGGGGTCATAGATGTTGTATGATATTTAGGGTGCTGATATCGTGTCGTTGGTCCTTGTGTATTTGGATAATTGAATGGCCTTTTTGTTGTGCTTATATGATGCGGATGATGATGACCACGATTATTATGATATGTACGTCTTGCTTCATATTCACGTTCTCGTTCTTTTTCTCTTTCTCTTTCTCGTTCATATTCTCTTTCTCGTTCACGTTCTCTTTCTCGTTCGATTTCACGTTGTCTTTGACGTTCGCGTTCTATTCGTTCACGTTCTTTTCGTTCACGTTCTATTCGTTCACGTTCTTCACGTTCTCGTTCTTTACGTTCTCGCTCTTTACGTTCACGTTCTTTACGTTCTCTCTCTCGTTGTCTTTCACGTTCTTCTCTTTCACGTTTTCGTTTTTCTTCTTCATTATTTCTATTATAATTATATCTAGGATCATTACGATCTGGATGAAATACAAGCGATTTCATAGTTGTTGTTGTAGTTGTTGTTATTGGTCTTGTTGGCCTATTGTAAGGTACATTAACAGATGCCCATTGTTTATATTTTGCACCATATAATGCTTGTATACCATAACGATCATCATCCGGTAAATCTTTATTATGATCGTATCCTTGATACCATGGAAACATTATAGAATTTTGAACATCCGAATGTCCTAAACCTAATGAATGACCAAATTCATGAACAGCGACACCCATTAAATTTGTTCCTAATTATAAAAAAGAAAATAGAATATCATAAATTTTTATATTGTATATTCTATTATTATAATGAAATAGTAATAATGAAGTATTTTTAATAAGAATGTACCGTTCGTGACATCGTTTATTATTTTAGAAAAATTTCTGTTGTATTAAATAAATAATTTTCTTCGTTTTCAACATAGTTTTTAGCAAAAAAAAATCGCATTCTGTGTTTGGGTAAAAATTGCTTTCTGTACAACTGTAGTTAAAAAGTTTTTTTTTTGGGTACGTACACGCGATTTTCATTAAATTTATTCTATCTGTTAAAGCTACTCTATTTATGCCTTATAATCGGTTAGTATATTTTTTTAAAAATATTTTATTTTTACACTATTTGGAAAGCAATCAATATCAATCAAAAATTTTTTTGTATGTCATTTATTTTATATGGTATTTTAAACACATACATTCATACATACGTATACATTTATGCATTTGATTGATTTCTTTTAATCGCTTTGAACGTTCTACATTCTGCTTTTTTATTTATTGAGTTAAAAATGCGAAAGAAATTGATTGCACCTACATACGCCAATGCAAAAAAACGAAAAAAATAGTCAGAAAAGAAATGCACAACATTTAATTTCGGTTCAAAATTTCTTGGGCAGTAAATTGTTTTTGATATATTGTGATTTTTAACACAGACATTTTAAAAATAAATTATATTAATATTTCATATAATTGAAATATTTTTAATATGGGGAAAATGTGTATATATACATACGTTTGATTTATAATGAAAATTTACTCAATAAATTTTCATATGATTAATATTAAAAAAGATTTATTAATTTCAATTGGAAATAACTGAATTATTATTTTTTATAAAAATATTTTTATAGAATTTTATACGAAATTTGTTTAAAAACATTCATCATTTTCATAAATATTTAATTAAATAAATGGCATTTCTAAATATTGTTAAATTTAAATAGCTCTAATGAAATGTAATTATGTATATATAAGAAAAAAAAACATCAGTTTTGAACAAATTTTCTCTTAAATTTAATTTAAACAATAAATTAATTTTAGGTTTCATATATTTTTATTTGATCTTTTAATAAATTTTTGAATACAGATCTTACCATCATTTGTATCTCTGTTATCTACATGCCATATTTCATCAGAATCAAAATGAGCATCACCACCACGTCCAGTGCCAGGATAAAATGCATGTGCTAATATTGAACCAGGACCATCAAAATCATAACCGTCACCATGATGCCCTCTATAAATTAAAATTCATATTAAAAATTATATTTGTATTTAAAATCATTCTTTAAATGCATAAAAAAAATAATTGTTTTGTTTAAAAAATTAAAACTGTTATACATATCTTGTTATATGTTAGAACTGTTATACAAAATGTTATATGTCAATGATATTAATTATTTTCTTACTTTGCAAACATTACTTGTATATCAGCTCTTTCATCGTAAACTTCACGGAATGTTAATTTAGAATTTTTTGCCCAAATATCTAAAGCATCACGTAAAACTCTTCGAACTTGCCCACCATCAATTTTTTCCATTGTTTGGTTCACCAAACTGAAAATTAAAAATATATTTATTATGTATAACATATTCAATTATTTTTGCAATTAAAATATAAAATTATATAAAATTTACAATATAATGTTATATTAAAATTAAATATTGAAAATTTATAAAATCTAAGTTTGAAATTCATAGGATTATTTATCAAAAACTAAAGTAATTTTCACGTTTTTCCACATTCTGTATTAACATTTTTTGCTTTTTATTATGATTCGTTTCCAATTTTCTATAATATATAATGCAAGATTATTTCAAAAATTTTGAGAGAATACAAGTTTTAAGAAGAAAATTTTGAAAACAAGAATATTTTACAGTTGAATTTTTTGATAAGAAATTAGAGTAGCAAATTTTATAAACTATATACGTTAAAGAAAATAATGCCTTTTAAACGAATAAAATTCAAAAGTAAATCTTAAATTCGAAATAATCTTCGAAAATGCAAATCTTAACCTTATACTTTAAATAAAGTGTTATACCAGTATCTATTATAAGATTTAGCATCTTACGATACATTTGATTTTTGGTAATACAAAAAACGTACATATATACAAATTGAATACTTTATTCTAACTATATATATATATATATATAATTTAAATCTATTTTAATAAATTATTAAAACGTAATGAAATTAAATTAAAAAAAATGTCTTTAATATCAAAATTTTTTTTTCAATATACATACATACAATTATATACTACCTTATTGTTAACTTACTGCTGTTGTCATATCCATTGAGTTCTCGCTCACTCAAGGAGGTTGTGATGGATTCTTATTTAATAAAACATCACACCCAGGTTGAGTGAGTAAAAACCCGAACAGAATCAAAATTAATTATAATATTATATTTCTAAACCTTTTTTCATACATACACACATATATACAATCTTTATTACAAAAAATATAACAAGTAATATATAATTAACTTTAATTAATTTTAATTTTATTATATTAAATAGAAAAACAAAATGAGAAGAAAAAATTGAATAAAATTAAAAAAACAAACAAAATAAAAATTAAAAAAAAAAAAGAGAAAACAAAAAGACGAATAGAAAATAAAATATCAAAAACACCCATTTAATTACAGGTATATATGCAACACCTTGTTAAGGTAAAATAAATTTTTCATTTTGTGTTTACAGACAAATAAAGGTAGAATCAACATAGAAATGAGTGCAATGAACGCCTAATTATCTTTTACTTCATTATCCACCTTTAAAATTATATATGGTATAAAAATATATGTATAACAAAAAAGGACCTCTGTTCATCTATACATACATATACATTTTGTACGCACAGCTATGTGTTTATGTCATTTTAAATTGTAGTTTGTGTTGCAAGCAAAGAATTTTTATTTTTTTTTTTTTATTTTCTATTATCAATTCTATAAAATTTTATTTTTATGTTCAGGAATATAACATGTAAACAAACTATAATTAAATGTACCTACATATTTTCATATAGTATATATATGTACGTTAAAATATGCATCTACTATTTATTTATAGCATTGATATTGTGTACTCTTTAATTATATTAATCATAGATATTCTCTATATGTATGATCAATATACATTTAAATACATACTCGTACATACCTATATGCAAATTGTAGAATATTATTATATAATAATGTACGACAACAAAATATAAAAATTTAAAATCCCTAAACGACAGTATCCTTTTCATTTTTATACATTTGAATTCAATAATATATTAATAATGTACCTATATGTATGTATCAGCACTCGCGAACCTTTAATAGTTGAATTTTTATGTGTGGTATGAAGAGTCTTGGCTCATTTCTCTAATAATAGTTTTTCTCTGTTACTTATTCAGCAAAACAATTTTATTTGCTGAATAAAGCAAATTATATTTAGGTAAGCCTAAGAATATTTTACAATTAAGTAGGCTTACATTATTGCTCAATAAAACAAACCAATTTTCTTTCCTTTGGACTCTTGAAAAATACGAGTATTAAACTTAACAGCCAAATAAAATTTATTTGCTTATATAATTTTGTTCAAGCAAGTTTCCATATATTTTTGTTTTCATATAAATGCGTGCATTGAACCTGAGAGATACCAATTAAAGAGCCTATGTAGCCTTGCCAGAATCTTTTAGATTTAGCCAAATATAAAAATATTGCTTTTTTTCAAAATTATATTGCGATTCCCAGAGGAAAATATCGTTTACCAAAGCAAAAGCACTGCATTTCGTAAAATATATGTGTAAAGGTAACGGTAATGGGTTTTTGTAATTTTTAATTATAATTGTTAATTTAAATGGAAAAAAAAAATTTTTTGTTTTAAATAATTGAGCTCGGATTTTTAATTCAATAATTGTGCTTCGATATAAGTCTTAGTTAATCTGCAAAGTATTATATTTTGCAAACTTACTATACTTTGTGTATATATTTTAACTAATCAATAGGATATTATTGTTTTATATGACAACAAAAAAAAAAAGGTTTGTCTTTTCTGATGGGCAAGAAATGTCAATATCTACATACATACGCATACATACATATGTTATGTAACAATGTTGAAATGAGAACAGGCTAGGCGTCAATTTAAATGTTACAGAGTTGTTAACTTAAACAAACATTCTTAATGAAATTTTTATTTTAAAATTTTTATTTTTTCTATATCTATTGAATCAACAAATAATACAAAAGAGAAAATAAAAATTTTAGTTAGAAAATCAAATATGGAGATGAATGAAATGAGAAAAATAAATAAAATAAAAAAAAGGTTATTAAAAGGCAAAATCAAATAAATTTTATTTATTATTGAAAAAAGAAAAAAAAAATAGATTTTTATGAACTGGAATTATAAAGCTCGTTCTATCTTTATTAACTTTATCGTCATGTACAATTTTTCAAAATAAACTTGTCCAATTTTTTATCATTCATTAATTTTTTTTACTTGTCAAAAGTGAAATGAAAAAGCAAGAACATTGGAATTAAAATTCTTTCATTTAAAAATATTGATTTGTAAATTTTTTAGCAATTTTAGTATTTACTTAAGGTTATGTGTTAATTGGGAACTATCGATTCAATTAATTGCAATTTTAATTATGAAAATTTAATATATGTATATGTATGTACGCCAAATTAAATTTGAAAATTATAAAATTGTTGCAATGTCGCATTATAAAGCCTATACTCTTGTAACCACAGAATTAAATTACCATCAGAACGGCAATTCTATTCGTTTTGTCACGTTTTTTAAATGACAAATCAAACAGATGTCATAATATGATGTTTGTATACCGGCTGACTCATCAGCTGACTATGCCGGCAACTACATATTTTGTTTATATAATTTGTCAGATTATTGTTTACTTTGAATAAAGCTATTATACAGCTTTATTCCGTTTTTATTCAGTTATTTAATACGCAAGCAGAAATGTGGTCTAGAGAGTTATTTAAAAATTATTGTTCAATTTTAATAATTGTAGAAACATGTGCTTTTTTAATTATAATTTTGAATGTGTATTTATTAATAGTAGTTGAACATTCGTCTGAACAAAAACAGCTTAAAAAATTACCCAGGTTTTGGACAAATACTGGATTTTGTCCGTTAGGAGATGTATCTAAATATCTATTAAATAATGATACACGTATTCATTTGAATTTAGTGGGTGCTTTACCAAATCATGGTATAGATACTATTCGTATACATTGGCTTTTAGATTTACTTGATGTAAAATTTGAAGATAATAATTATAATGGTTCTCCAATTTATAATTTCACTAAATTGGATACTGTAGTTAGTTGGGTAAATGAAGCTGGACTTTCTTTAGGGTTTGAATTCATGGGAAATCCAAATAATTTGTTTTATAACAAAACAGACAAAATGAAAATGTTGCTATGGGAAGATTTAAGTATTCGAATAGCCGGTAGATTCAAGGAAATATACGGCATAAATAAGTTACTGAATTGGAAATTTGAAACATGGAATGAACCAGATTTAAAAAATTATAATAAACTAAATTTTACTTCAGATAATTATTTACAGTATGCATTGGCTTTAAATAAAGGATTGAAATATGTTGATAAGAACATAAAATTAAGAGGTCCTGCTGGTCTGTTTAAAGATAAATCAAAACATCCAATATGTTGGGATGCATTAAAATTTTGTAATGACTACCTAGAAAATTGTCCATTTGATATTTTAACTTTTCACCGTAAAGGTAACGGTGAACCTAGTCAAGTTGCAATTGGTGGAAAAAATTTGCTTTCAGAAATTTTTTCTGAATATCCGAAATTAAGTAACCATCCCATATCAAATGATGAAGCTGATCCGATTGCAGGTTGGTCTACTCCAAGAAAATTTCAGAGTGATATTCAATATGCTGCAGATTTAGTTAAAATTGTTCTTGAGCATTGGGCTATGAAATTGGAAACAAAAGAGTTTGTTAATCTCGAATCAATAAGTCACGATAATGCTTTTATGAGTTATCACCCATATGAGTTCAATCAAAGAACTTTATTTGCAAGATTTCAAATGAATAACAGTAGAGTACCATATTCACAGTTTGTTGCAAAACCAGTTTATGTGGCTTTGGGAATGCTTGGACATCTTGGAGAATATGCGGAAGAACCGGTATTTGATAATAATTTATCATATTTGACAACTACTTCTGGATCATCAGACGATTTTTACTTAGCAATTATTGTAGCATCTACAGAATCCACTTATTCATCTAAAACTGAATTAAATTTTAAAATTTATTTACCGGATATTAAAAAAAATCAACAATTATCATTATGTGTTGAAGCTTTAGAAACCAATGAAACTAATCCAATTGAATTATGGAATTCATATGGAATGCCATCATATCCTAATACAAATGAAAGAGAATGGATGAGACGTATTCAAGGACCAAAAGTTTTTGAAAATAGAGTAATATTATCTGAGGAAAAAATTTTAAAAATAAAATACAATTTAAATGCTCCATGGGTTGGATTAATAAGAATTTGTAATCTAGATCGTAAGAAATTAACAGAACCAAAAAATATTAGAATTTTAAAATTGACTAAAGGTGAAGTATTAATATTTTGGGAATATTATGGTGATAATAATTGCATAAAAACATTTGAAATTAAATTTAAACCAATGAAAAATGAAAATATTTTAGATACGAATATGAATCTTAAAAAAGATAAAAGTTGGATACCAATTAGTCGTGGTTGGAGAGTACCATTTCGATATTTTCAATATAAACAAGAAGGTAAAGGTATTATTGGATATTATAAAATACGAGCTGTTCATATATCTGGTAAATCAAGTGCATTTTCGGAAGAGGTTTATTTCAATGGAGATAATGTTATATAGAGAATATTGCAATAAATAAAATCATGACTTTTTAACGTAATTAAACTATGTAGTTTTAGATAAATTTATTTTGTAATAATTGTTTGAATAATATGAAATGATTTTTGTATTTCTACACAATTTAATTTTAATTCGTTAGCTTTTTATGCTTTTTGGGTTTCTTTTTTGTAAATCGTTACAATATAATCACTTTCAATTATTTAATAAAAAAAAATAAATAATTTATAAAGGTTTCGTAATATCTACAAAAATGTGAATTAAATTGAAAACAAACAACTTTTTTTTTTTGTTGAAATTTCCGTGAATCTGTTTTAGTCTATTAACATGATGTATCACAATTATGTGTATATATTTACATATTTTTTTCATAAATAATAAATTATAACAAAGTTCATGTAAATTGAACTAAATTGTTAAGCTTATTAAATGAAGTATTTTAAATGGGAAATTGTAATATAATGTTTTTTAGAGAAAATTTTTTATAAAATTAAGTACAAAGTTGTAATTTTTGAGAATATTAAATAAAAATATTGTAACTGTTATACTAAAAATCACATTTACATTTTAAATATAGAACGAATTCAAATACTATATTTGCATCTTTTAAATTTTTTTATTTTCCGGAGTGTTAATTCCGTAAAGGATTTTCTAAAACGTGTTCTATAGAATTTTCAATTTTTATTTTTCTTATTTTAACGCTCTATAGAATTTCTGTATGTATTTCACATATATAATAATATTTTTTTTATTACATGATTTCAATAGAAATTTTTTTTTTAACGAGATCCATTAAAAATAATAATGTAAAAGAGAAAAAAAAAATATTAAGGAAATTTTCTATATTCTCTAGACGAAAAATATTTTCCTTTTTTGTTATTTCATTTTTATATAGAAATAACAAAGACTAAAATTATACTGAAAAAAAAAAAATACTAACAATAAAAAGAATTCGAGTAAAATCTCTTTAAAATAAAGAAAGAATATGATACGTGTACCTATGCTAACGAATAAAACTAACGAGATCTATCAAACAAATTGAGAAGATAAAATTTATTTGTTTGTATGGTGCCGCAAATTCTATTACACCACACAATGAATTACTTTCGGGATTGTTAAAAAAAAAAATTACAGTGTCATGTAAGAATAAAAAAAAAGAAAAGGATTACTTTCATTTTATTATGATAGATGCAAAGAAACATTTTTTGTGAAAGCAAATGCATTCAATAGTTTATAAATCAGTATCTGTATGGTAATAAGTGTGAAAATATTTTAATATTTAACTATTATTTATTTTGTTTTATCTTTTTAGATGTCAAAAAAATTTCTGAGTACAGGAAAGAAATAATTGCTTTGGAAGTATAGATATCTGCCTCAATTAATTTACTAATTGTATTTAAGCAGCGTATAATAAATTTGTTTAAATATTATAATATTGAAAAAATTAAACAAAAATATTTAAATAAATTATATTTAATATATATTATGGTATTGGTATGTGCTTTACCTTTAATAACATAATTTTAATTAAATATGATTTTCAATTTAATTGGGCACAAAATAAATTATAGGCATTTTCATAAACACAATATTGCAAAACAATAATGTGTGATACATACGCAATATATTTTTAACAGTTGTATAAAAACTTTTTCTGTTATGAATTTGCAGTATTGTGTTCATGAACAAAAAATTTTATTTATTTTGGGCCAAATATTACAAAATTCTATTAAGAAAAACAAAAAAAAAAAGAAAACTGAAATAAAAAGAAATTTTTTTTATTTTTAAGTACAATAATTAACTGGTGAATTCCTAAAAAAAAAAAAAACTGCAAAAACTAGTAAGAACACAAGTACAGCAGATTTAACTGCTCTAGTCATGATAATTTAAATATTTTTTTTTGATATGTTACGCAATGTTTATGGAAAAACTTGATTAGCAACATTTGTTTATGAACACAAATATAGCACAGTTCTCGTTATATATTGCAATATATTGCGTTTTGGAAAACACCTTATATTATTGTATTTTAGATATATATTTGAATGTAAATAATTAATTATACAAACCCATAGTTTAAAACTTAATTTAAAACTTATAATATTTATTTTAAAGTAAACGAGCATTAAGTGTTTTGTTAAGGCTGGAAATTACATACCTGGAAATATAAAAAGGAAAGCAAGAATTAAAAAAATTATTATACAAATTTTAGATTTAGAATATCAAAAAAAAATATTTAAATATAGTTATTAAGAATTTGGTAAATAATTTCTTTAAATTAAATTATTCTTAAATTATTTTTTAATTATTAATTAAGTAATTAAACAGGAAATATATATAAAAAGTTATTCTATTAAATTTAAATTATTTTAACAAAATTCAGTACTACGGTTTTAAATTATAGATAATACTAGTTAGGTCCCTATATCTAACTCATAAATACTACATAGTTTATTTGTATTACAAAACAAAAAAAAAAATAAAACATGTTTATGAACTAATGGAAATCCAAACAACTTAACATTTTCTTAATCATTATCATTTATAAATTCATAAATACATATGTATAAGACTTATTTAAATATATTTTTATAATATATTGTACATAATATGTATATTTTTATATGTATGTACAAAAAATCTATTCACTCAACTACGAGTAATAAATAAATTTGTTTTTTTCCTTTTTTATTTTTTATATTTTTTATAAAAATTTTTTTTTTCCAATAAAGTGTAATTTAATATTTTTGTCCTGTCAAATAATGCAGGACGGCGACAATATAACAACGACAATATTGGTGGTATTGAGGAACGAATCTTATACAAAATAGAATGGTATAAGCAAACAGCACAAGAAAAAAACAAAAAAATTAATAATATAGAAGACATACAAGAAATTAAAACAAATTCTTTATTAAAAGCCCCCTTAAAAGGTTTCATATATTAAGTTAGTTATATTCTATACATACGAGTATGTACCATCAAAACTGTTAAGCATAAATAATATTTCCAGTCGAAAAGGTTCTCTCTACTTATATGTTACTTCTTCTCTGTCCATAATATGAATAACATTTTATTTTACTTATAAGTAAAAAAAAAAAATATTCTTCTTCATTTGACTGGATTTTTGTTATATTATGCAATCATGTATATATATATTAGCATTTTTATTATATAAATACACGGTTAATATTATGTACATATAATATCTACATATATTTGTATATATATATGTAGATATTATATACGAGTATGTAGTGTTTGAAAAAGGATATTTGATATGATGAACTGAAACCATTTCAAATAAATTGATTTTAAGTTGTCTCTCTTGTTTTCTTTTTATTTTAATATTCTTTTCTTTCTTCTTGATGTCTTTTTCTACGTTTCTTTTTTTATTGCTTCCTTTTTATATTATACTAAAAAAAAAAAAACTAAAATTAAAAAAAAAAGGATATTTAAACCATATACGTATGTATATTATTGGAATTTAATATTCTGTGTTGTGGTGGTAAAAGAAATATAATTATAATACCTATATGTATGTAATATAATGGCTAGTTCTTAATATTATATTATAAATACGTGTATATAGTATAATATATGCTCGTATAACAATATAAGAATATATAGTATGACAAATATAATAAGAAATCTTTTATATACTAATAAATATGAATGGGGTTGAAAATGGGGGGGGGGGGGGGGGGGGACGGGATAAAATTACTCCTACTATAGCTAATACTTATGGTGGGTCTTCAAATAACAAATGCGTATGTTCTCTTATATGCTAGTGAAGATTTTCATTTCTTTTATATATATATACATAGATATGTTGAGCATACTATAAACTTGACGTATTATAGTTGACAGTAATTAAAAAAAAAATGTCGTATTTTTTCACCGTATACCGATAATAACATGCAGTTTTTTTTTTATATCTTACTGTTTTTGAAAAATAATATTTATACGATATTGTTAATTTTTATACAATGTTGTATTTTTCATAAAGTGAGACTATTTTAATGAAATGAGAGTAAGTATTAGTTTTCAAAAACAAATTTTTTTTATTTATTTTTGAAGTAGATTAAATTTATAAATTCCTACTTAATTAATATATTAAGGATTCTTATATATATATGTTTGTACATTCATATGTGAAAAAAAAATCAATTATTATTATTTAATTACTTTTAATTTAGACAGTATTTTTAAGCTTATTTTTGAATTTAAAGGGTATTTTATTTATAACACAGACTTAAGTAGATGTTAAGTAAATTTTAATTATACTTGTACAGAGAATGTAATTTTTTTTTTTGCAAGAAATTTTAAAAAAATTAAGAGTACTTGGAATCGAGAATATATAAGAGAATCGAGAATATTTCGAATCAAGCCTCAATTCAGGCATTTTTTTTTTTGAGAAAAATTGAACTTGGCGCACACTATATTCAATGAAGGATAAAAGAGGTAAACGTAAACAAAATAGTAATTAAAAAACTAAAATATCTTGAATCTAGTAATAATATTAGTCACCATAAATAGATAGTTTTTCTGCAGTTGATAGTTCCTTCTGCCGGTGAAATAGTAGATAGTCCCTACTGTCGGTATCCAAATTTATAATTAACTAATTTCAATAAATATTAATTATCTAAATTTAGAAAAATTGTTAAAACTTTAAGTTTCATAATTTTATAATAAGATTTTTTAATGTAAACTAAATTTACAAATTAATATCGAAGCTTATTAGAATTCAAAAGCTGTATAATGCCTGGTAAGTATATACTTACCACTGCTCTGGTAAGTATATACTTACCAGGGCAGTGCTACAATATTGAATACAAGGCATGTTAAGAATTTGTTTTAAGATTAGAAAATTTGAAGTTTACTATTCTCATATTATTGTTTCCAACATTTAAATTTAATATTCTCATATTGAAATCAAAGTGAGAATAGTCTTGCTACTAGCACTCTTTCGAATATCCCAAAATAAAAAAAAATTATCCAAAGTCATGTAAGTAATAAAAACAACATTTTTAATTCTCGTATTACTTATTTTGGGAAAATTTAATAATTTTCGGTTAGATTAACAAAAATAATATTGGAAAAATTAAATTTTAAATTATTTTTCGACATAAATCTTCAATTAAATATCAAAAAAAAAAAAAACAATCTTATTCTATAAAAAGTTTTATAAACTTAAATTTAAAGTAAATGCAAAGAAATTTCATTAAAAATACTGACATTTTCCATT